AACGTAAGGTATTCGAAAAATAACAACGGATTTGAGCTCAATTCATCATAACTATTTCGCAGAAAAAATAGGTTATAACCTAAAAATCCGACCCCTACTTATTACTAGTGTTAGACAAATGCGATTTTTCGGTATCGGTATTTTCGGTAAAAATACCGCGGTATTTTCGGTAAAAATACCGCGGTATTACCAAAAAATACCACGGTAATACGATACCGTGACCAACTCTACTCATCACCCTACTTGTGAGGGAATTTAGTATACAACTTTGTTTAAATGAATGTTAAAATATATTTTTAATTTCGAAAAAATCATGCCTAAATAAAAAGTTATGTCCAATAATATACATATTTCTGTCATATTCCCTCTTAGTTTTTCGCCAATATACATAGATTCCCATAATTTTATTCATATTTTATATTATTTTATGGATTATTATTAGTAAATTAACTCACTTTATATTTTTTTATCATTGACATTATGCTTAATTTAATGCCAATCGGACCACGATTTTACTCATAGTTAATGGATAAAATAAATTTTTAGGTTTTTCAAATTTTATAATTTAATTTTTATTTAGAACAATTTATTAAAACTGATTCTAATTTTTTTCATGTATTAAAAATTCTCATGTATTAAAATCATATTTTAAATCTTTATTCAAAATTAAATCCATACTTGAATATAATTTATTGAAAAATAACATATAATTATTACACTCAAATAATAAAATTGTGATATTAATTAAAATCTGTTTGATTAGTCCAACAGTCTCCCAAAGCTCTAAAATTTATGAATTTTTTTGTTAATATTTTCAAAATTTCTTAATTAAAACCAACTTATCGCATTCACACAAAAATTTTTCACACGGAGAATTTTCCGTTGAACAAGAAGTTATATATCCTGTGTTTGCATCGCACTCATAGGAATAAGCTTCTGTATATGGGGATCTATCAAACCAGGTCCAACCACATTGTGAGGCCCATTTCGCATCGTACTCTCTATAGCATTTATCGTGAATTTCACAACATCTTTTGATTGGAAAAGATATACATTTGGTTTTCAATTATACGACACCTCTTGTACGGAAAGCTAGATAAGCCCATTTTTATCGAATCCGTTGTTGAGAAATAGGGGCAAAAGTAATATTCTCAACGGATAAGCCTACCTATACATATATTAATTTTTTACCTGTCAAATTCGTCTATAGCTTCATATAATCCGCATCTTCCAATTCCACAACTATTTTAAAATTTAAAATTCATTTTTTCAGAATTTAGTAAGAAATGTTGAAATTAGTTTATATTTACTAATTATTTAAACGAGAATTTTTTGTTAAATATGTAGTACCTAAATCAACTAATTTACATAAAATGAGAGATAATGCCGATAACTCGTCTACAGTAAAAGAAAAATAATTTTCAAAAATAATTCTACTTCAATCTGAAGCTTTTTAAAATAAATTTTAAATTTTCGATTTTCTAAAATATTTATTTTCTTACTAGCAGCCGTAGTTAACCATTGAAATTGCTTGCAGGAAAGACCATCTCCCACTATCATAGATTTGGCATTTTAACATTGTAATCATATTTAAGGAACTCTTATTTTGTATAGGAAATAAGGGTTTTAAATTAATTAAATTAATTTTACAAAAAATTAGCAAAAAGAAAATAATTATTTTCATTTTTTAATTAATTTTAATTTTAATTTATTGCAACAAGCTTTTATATTCTCTTAAATTAAAAAGCCATTATTGTATATTCATTAAAAATACATATAACCATTGAAATATGTATAATTTTAAATTTAAAAAGAAAAATTTAAAAAAAATTTATTTCCATTTTATTGTTTTGTTTATTCTCAACAAATTGCAAAAACGTTTTTAAAATATTTTTTTATTTAAAAAATTAAAAGGGAATTGTATTTTCTGCAAAAATCAGATTGGCATATTAAACAAAATTTTTCAGAGGACAATAAAAATTCACCTTTTTAATTCTAATCATTTAAATACAAAATGGATAGATGCTAAATGTTGGGAAATTACTGAATATGGCCCCAAGAGCCCGGGGCTGATTCAGGAGTCGGGCCAAGAATTATAAATGCCTGGAGTCCGGGCTCAACTTTTTCAATCCTTTACTATTTCAGGATTTTTCTAATAAGTGAGAAGCTTCGTTCATCACATGGTAATGTTTTAGTATTTTTTCTATAAAACGTAAAAATAATTGGCAATTTTATGCAAATTTATAAAAATATCATATTTTAAAACGAAAAAGACTAACAAAAAGTTTTAAGGCAAAATTAAAAATACATAAATGTAAGAAATATCTAACAAAATTAATGAAAATATTGACACGCGGGAATCTGGGTGTAAAGTTTTTGAGCAAATATAGGCAATAAAATTGTGCAGATTTTTTTTAAAAAGACAAAAAACAAAAAAATAAAATAAAGAGAACACCCATAAATTGAATTAAAAATATGGCAGAAACAAAGTAGTACATAGAATCTTTTTAGGTTTTTATTTTAAAGGAAGATTGAAAGGACATATACTCAATGGGTGCCGGAAAAATGGGCTCTGGAAAATTGGGCTCCAAGATTTTTCGGAAATTTGGGCTCCAACTTTTCGGAAAATTGGGCTCCGGCGGTAATTTGGGCTCTGCGTGATAATATCGGAATATTGGGCTCTAAAATTTTGGGCTCCGGAGGAATTTTGGGCTCTGAGGAAAAAATCAAACACTAAGGAGAAATGTTCAATGAACTACATAATATATAAAATTTTTATCGGAAATCCGAATTTTAAGAGGTGAGAAATTTAAAACGTAACAGGGTTGGGCAACAAAGAGAAAATGTTTTTTTATTTTCACATTTGGATAAGGAGCGAATTCTACCTACAGAGCGAAGTCGAGTTCTAGGTTCGGAACCAGAGATGCACGAAAATTTTTCGTTTCGTTTCGTTTTCGTAAATTTTCGTGGATTTTTGATGATTTTCGTTTCGTTTCGTGTTTCGTTTGAAAATATTTTTTTCGTTTTTTTCGTTTCGTATTTCGTTAAAAAAATATTTTCGTTTCATTTTCGTTTCGTAAACTCAATTTTTAGACGAAAATGACGAAAATAATTTGACATTTTTAGTCATTTTTTACCGTATTTTTAGGGCAAAAATTGAAAATTTTTCTCTACGGGGACTGGAAAGTCAAGAAAATTTTGCCTGCGGCGCTCAAAGTGTAACTTTTTTTAATTAGAAACCTTAAAAATCTTAAGTCCTGTTTCCATCAATCCGTTTATATCCGTCGATATAACCCCAATTCACTGAGAAATCGAAGGAGCTAATCCCTGTTAATCCCAAAAATCCCCATCTCTCCATTGTACACCTCTAATTCAAATAACGATAAATTAAAATTTTAAATTATCAATCAAAATGTAGTAATTGGAAATAGATATATACCAGAAAATCAAAGAGGATATCAGGGAATCTCGATGGATATCGGGAAAGCAAGAGAAATATCTGGGAGTTCGGCGGATATAAGAGGATTTGTAGTGGAAAAATTTTTTCCTGCGGCGCAAAAAAAGACGATTTTTGGCTTAAGGATCTTCAAAATTCTCAAAATTTTTGCCTGCGGCGCTGAAAAAAGAAGATTTTTGTTTTAAGGAACTACCAAATTTTCAAAAATTTTGCCTGCGGCGCCTAAAACCGATGGAAGAATCGGGAATCGCCCAAATCCACCGACAATCATCCAAATCCCGCGTAATCGACCTAAATCGTTTGATAATGTCATCACAACTCCTCTGAATCCCTCCAATCCCTAGTCTGATTAAATATTTGATACATTTAGACATGTACGACCTCAAAAAACTTCTTATCTAACATTAAAATTTACTGATTAATAATTTTGACTTTTTTCGTTTCGTTTCGTTTCGTTTCGTGGATTTTTATGATTTTCGTTTCGTTTTCGTTTCGTAAAAATTAAAATTATTTTTTCGTTTCGTTTTCGTTTCGTACATTGGCGAATTTATTTTTTTCGTTTTCGTTTCGTTGAGAGCGAAATTCTATTTTCGTGCATCTCTGTTCGGAACCTACGGCCAGTTGGTCTGGGTGAGTACTTGGCCCTATTCCTTTATAGTATAATGCAAATTGGTTCAAATTGTTTGGTCCGATTCAGTAGAATCTGATAAAGAAATCCTATTCCTACCATTAACAGTTGGGCGTACACGTAAAGTGAGAAAAAAAGTGAAAAAACAATCTTAATTATTTTAATAAAATTTCTTCCTAAAAAAGATATCCAAAATTTTTGATTCGAATACCGGTTTGGGATATCCCTAGAGTTCCCTCGATCCGTCAACACTAATCCTAATTTTGAGGTTCTGATTTTTAACTTTTTGACTTTCGATTTTAGAGGTTATCTTTCTCACGATTTAGAAGATTTTAAATAATATTTCGATTTCGACATTTTAAATTATTTTAACTTCGAAAACTTTTATTTTCGAAACAACTTTGCATGAAATACTTTTAACACACCATTTTTTGTGTTAAAAATACTGAAAATCCATCTTTGCCCTTCACTCATCTCTAATTGTTGCATAATTTGACTTTTTTCCTCAGAGCCCAAAATTCCTCCGGAGCCCAAAATTTTAGAGCCCAATATTCCGATATTTTCACGCAGAGCCCAAATTACCGCCGGAGCCCAATTTTCCGAAAAGTTGGAGCCCAAATTTCCGAAAAATCTTGGAGCCCAATTTTCCAGAGCCCAATTTTCCGGACACCTACTCAATATGAGGGGGAAATGTTTTACAAAATTAAAAATACCTATAAACAATTAAACATATCATGTAAATCTTCACCAGGGGTCAGTCGGAAATTATGAAGGTGCCGGAAATTGGAACTGCCAAAAATCGAAATTCCGACTGACCTCCATCCAATCTTCACCGTTAATTTAAAAATAATTATTTTGGAGAATTTAAGGTTCCGCCAACATTTAAGAAAGTTTAAATAAAAATAAGTTAAACTTTTAACCAATCCTCCCTCCAACCCCATTTTGTCCTTCTCCGTTGTTAATTTTTACCCCATCAACACGTGCTCTAAGGTTTGAATCCAAACGATCAAAATAAGAATGTCTGAGTGCCTCAGCCAAAACTATTCGAGAACTTGGTTCGTAATCTAACCTATAAAAAGATTTTTTTAATTTTATAAATCCAAAAAAATATCTACATTCGGTCAATAAGATTAAAAAGTTGTTGGTGTTCCTCGTTATTTGATTGCATATAACGCTTAATTTTTAAAATAATTTTTAGAAAATTTAAATTTTTAAATAAAATTTGTTACCATTAGAGGTTTGCAATTATCTCGTACATATTGCCCCGCTGATGTTCTTTCATTCCAATCTAATCGGCCGTGGTAGAAATATTTGGTTCTGAAATTAAATTTTTTTGTTTTTTATCTAAAATTAAAAAAAAAATTTTTTTTTAATTACTTTTATTTTTGATTAGGGAGCCTGACGTCAAAGAAAAATAATTTTATTCTATGAATAGGGTTGTCTGCTATTGGAAAATTGTCGGATATTCGGAACTAAGCCAAAAAATCCTCGGTTTTTCCGTTAGGTTCCGAACCGATAACCTCCTTTTTGAATAAAAATTATTTGTGTTAACTTGTTTGTTTATTGTTATATTTACATATGAGGTTCCTTATATGTTGATAATTAATTGGGAATATATTTTTAATGTTAAGGTAAAAATTAAAGGTTTTTTTTTAATTTTTACTTTGTTTTTCTTCCCATTCTGTAAGGTATATTTTCTAAAATTCTTTCCATCATTGCCAAATGTTCTCGATTATCGTGTGTTTGAAATAAAGTCTGTCCCGTGTATAATTCAAACATTATACATCCAATAGACCAAACATCACAAGGTTGTGACCATCCAAGTTCTTTTTTAAAAGAAAATTAAAAAATAATTTCTAAAAATATTTATTACCCAAAATAACTTCTGGAGCCCGATAATGTCTAGTAGAGACAATAGTTGAATGATGCTCGTGATCGAAGGTGGCAGAACCCAAATCAATTAAACGGACTGTTGCATCCTTTTAATTAAAAGAAAAATTAAATGACGTAATAAATTTTATGGAAATTATGACAACCCAGTATTTGCTGCCAGCCGTAATGTGATAGTACGGGATTTGAGAGGCAACTTCAGATAATATTAAATAAAAGCTATTCTCAACCCTAACATTTTGTAAAATATCGAGAATCAGTTTATAGTATTTTTACTTTAGTCTTATTTTGCAATATCGAGCCAACACAATAATTATATTTTTATTTAAATTTTCGATATGATTTGATTTTGATTAAAATACTTAGCAATCAATTAATTAATTTTTGCTTTATAACCCTAAAAACTCCAAAAAAGCCCCCCACCTTAACAACTCGCATAGGTTTTCGTCTCCTTCCTTCATCAGAATTACCCTGTGGCACAGTAACATAATCACTACATACAAAAAGTATATTTTCTGGCTTCAAATCAGTATGTGTTAAACGATTTTCATGCAAAAATTTAACTGCGTGTATTAACTTTAAAAATAATTTTTAAATAAAATTTAAAAATATTTTTTTAAATAAATACCTGATAAGCGATATATCTTGCTTGATCCAGAGGGTAGGGTCTGTAATCATTCGATTTCTTAATAATTAAGATTTATTCTAAACAAATATGTAAATAAACTTTAGAAAATATTTTAGCTGGGCTGGATTCGGCCAGATTTTTCGGGATTAATTCGATCAGAAATTAACCCCTACTTTTTACTAAGAAAACTATTTGGATTAAAATTAAATTAGAAAGGAATAGAAAAGAGATTCCAGATCGTTATCTCGAAATCCTTTATTTCAATAACCAAGATTTTCGAAGGAGATCTTGTCTCAGTATGATTTCTAATTTAAATATTTTTAGCAAAAATAATTCCAGTTTATAAGAGAAAAAATTACTAAACAAACCATAAAATCGAAGACACTTAATCCTAGCAAATCAAATAATAGACATATCTAGAATAATAAATATGTATGTATAAAAAAGTTTGCTAATTTATATATCAGAATCATGCAAATAAATTTCCAGTTCCCAAAATCGAAAATTTATTTTTTATGTCTACAAGATTCTTGTTATATGCGCATAGGTAGTTAATAGAGAATCGTTCTGGATCTGGATCCAGCGTCTAGATCCAGGCATTTTTTATCTTCCTGGATTTTTCCTGGATCCAGATCAAGAATCCTGTCCAGGTTACTAACCTAAATCCAGGTCCATAATATTTGAAAATACCGATCTCTAGTATTTAATTAAAGTCTTTTTTCAAAAAATAAATATTATTTTTCAATTAAAACAAACATGTCCAAAATAATCGAAACTGTCAAGTAATTGGATAACCAAATGTCGACTATCCGGATCTTTTTCTTTTAATTTTCTCAAAACATTAATTTCTAAACGAGCAGCTTCTCTATATTTTGAAACATTTTTAATTATTTTTAAAGCTTTTGGTGTTGAAGAAGATTTTCTTCCAATTCTGAGATCTTTAACTTGCACAACTTTCCCAAAAGTTCCTTCTCCCAAAGTTTTGACTATTTCAACTAAATTTTTGTTTTTTTCTATTAAATTTTAAAATATATTTATTTATACATCTATTATCAATTATTTGGCCATTATGATAAAGCAAATGCCCTTCTTTGTCGTCCTGGATTGGGCGACTTCCAGGACTGTCATTCCAATTACTTTTTCTGACTGTTTGATTTAACTAAAAATTTAAAGAATTTATCTTTTAATTAATCAAAAAATATTCTTCCCCTAATAATAATTATTTAAATCCACATCCCCTAGATTGTAATCATTAATTTATAACAAACTCACTCCTTTCTTTACAGTACCACTTCCCCCACCAGCAATTATTTTATCAACTTTAGCACAAACAGATGGAGGTAATTGCAATGAAGCTATTAAAGCATTTGTTGGGGCTGTTGATTTTTGTTGTTGTATTTTTGGGCCGGGATAGGGAGGGGGTGGAATTGGTGGATTTTGAATAAGTCCAGAATGGGGCCTGTTGTAAAATGAAAGTAAAAATTTAAAAATATTTAAGTTCGTTACCTTTGATGACGTGACAGATTCAAAACAGGAACCTTAGCTTCAGTAGTCGACTCCCCTGGAGTCTCGTAGCTTTCATCGTCATCGTCATCCTCCTCCTCGTCTTTCCCTTCCTCTCCTTTTTCTTTCTTTACATCTTCATTTTTATCAGCTTGTGTAGAATAATTTTCGAGTTGTACTGTTGCTTTAAAATCGAGTGGTTTACTCTAAAATTTAAATAAAGTTACATATACTAATTTATCTTTAATCACAGGTCTACTATTTTCGGTTACAAAATAGAAAAATTTTGCCTGAGATAATTTATGAGATGAGGGAGGAGGTGCTTGTGAATGTTCCTCTCTTCTTTCAGAATTATCTGAAGTATTGGCAGCATCAGTTGTTGAAGTCCCAGTCTCTCCTTCAGTAGTTCCACTAACACTTTTTTGACTACTTTCATTTTTATCTTCAATAGAAGCAAAAAGGCTAAGTGTTTTAGCCAATCCACTCCTAGCTGCGCGGTGTTCAGGAGGCTGTCTAAATTTAGGAGTAGTCAAAGGTGATGAGGAAGGTTGTTGTTGTTGAACATCATCAATTTGTTGATCAATAGGGACGGCAACCAAAGGAATATGTGAAGGGGTTGTTGAAGCTGTAATGTTTTGAGTAACATTTCCGGCACGAAAACGACCGCTAAGTTTTCGAGTATGTAAAGTTGGGGATAAAAGTTGCTGTTTTTGTGCTTCTTCTGTTGTTGTCTTTGATGATTTTGAATCATCAGGATCTCGCCTATTAGCTAGTCTGTTTAATTCTCGCCGAGCTAGCAATGAAGGGGAAGCTGGCGGTTTTGCAGCATATACATTAGTGGTTGTTGTTGTAGTTGGTAATCGAGCTGTTGATGTTTGTGCTACTTGAGAAGTTAATAATTAATAATAATTTTTCTGTTATTTACTATCTAATTTCAATAAAAATCTCATAAATAAAATTATACAAAATAAGTAGAGGGATAAAGCTAGATTAAACTAGATTATATCCAAATTAAGAATATTATTCTAATATTTACTATTCCAAAAACTAACCATCAGTAATTGTTGTATGAAATGCTGCTGACACAGCATCGACAGTACTCTTTGCTTGAGCATCTTCCAATTCCTCTTGTTTTTGTTCTCTCTCTTTTTTCTTCTTCAAATTATTAGAAATTGAAGGTAATTTTGTATTTCTTAGTTCTTCTTTTATTTTTGCTAAATCTTCAAGTCTTTTTCTTCTCCCGGAAATTTTTCTTTCCAAATTTCCTCCAGAATTTTCTCCTTCTAAATTTGAAGGATTTGGACGAGAATTTATTTGTTCAATTCCTTCTACTGGAGTGGCCAAAATCTTTTTTTGATTTTCTTTTGGGGAAGAGACTGTTATAGCTGCTGTAGATGTTGATGGGGAACATGTAGTTATGTCTAGAGAAGGAATAACTCCAATCTTTCCAATATTGGAATTTTTAGATATCCCTCCAGTAGTGTGTTGACGACCCCCTGCAGCGAATGCTAATCTCTCCTGGGCTAATCTTATCGATGTTCCTTTAGCCAGAGAAGAGGGTTGGACAGTTAAAGGTTGTTGTTGATGTTGGGTGCTGTTGTTGATACTTTTCTTTCTATTAATTAATAAAAAAATTTCTTGTAATTTAGGTAGGTTAATGAAATTTTCCCGGGCCTAGCAATAGGGTGACGGATCATTAAAGATGTTCGAATATTTGGAACCGAAATTTAAAAAAAAAAGAAAAAAATTTTAAAGTTGCACCAGATCGTAAGAGACAAGGGCCTGTGAAAATTGATTATTGGAGATCTTGATTCTAGAGATCTAGTAAATTCTAACTTAAATTTTGGGGAATTTGTCGTTTTATCTTTAATTAATTAATTAAATACCTAAATGTTGGGCTAAGTATTTGTTTAGATTTAAATTCCTCCATTTCTTGTTGATTTTTCCTTTGTTCTCCAATATTTGGAGAAGGAATTCCCATGGCTTCTAAACGTTCAGAAGCTGAAGCAGCCATTAAACGTCTTTCATCTTCTTCAAAATTTTCAGCTACAGCAAGTAATTTAGCTGCAGCAACATCCAATTGTTCTATTCGGTTTTTATATTCTTCTGTAGACTTTTTAGAACTTCCCATAGAGGAAGAATTATTTTTCTTTGAAAATTCATTTTGTCGAATAGAAACAGATTTAAGGTTTTCAACACAAAGAGAATACCAATGATTGAATCCGCGGTAAAGTTGTGGGTCAGAAACACAATTTCGCATTGAAGACCCTATTAATAATTTTTAAATTAGACATATCACACCCAGAATTAACTATACATAGACTTAATAAAAGGACCGACCTATTATAATTAGGACCTAACTAACGATAAGCAAGGAAGGTAAGGGAAATCTGTGTAACGTACTGATGGAACTTATTGGTGAAGAAAAAGCTCGCAAGGTGCCTTATTGGTTAGACTTGATAAAAAAATTAATTTCACATTTAAATGTTATGCTTTACCTAATACTCCCCCACGATTTCCTTTACGTTTAGAAATATGATTTTTATGTTTGCGCCTTTTGGGGATAACAACAAGTGGTTGTTGTTGTCTCTTCCAAGGGAATTTGCTGAGAACATTTGTTTTTGGTGGAGGTTGTGGGGGTGATTTTAATGAATTTGTATTGTTGTTTTTCTGTTGAGATGCTTCCACTTCCGATTTTTCTAAAATTAATTTTCTTTATTATTTTATTTTTATTATTTCTAATAAGTTTTCGAGTTCGAATAACTTTACGATTTAGAGAAAACCTGACGTTTATTTTTAATTTCTACTAGGAATTAATGTGCATATACATATGTCTGAATTTTCAGAGATTTCGCCTGCAGCACTAGTGTAATAAAATAAGCGCGGAATCATTTAGATTTCGTCGAGACAAAATTTAGAAGCACTGTTCTCCCTCAAAACTTTCCGGTTCTTTTTCGGATATCCTAATATTTTCCAAGAACCTATAACCCTATTGTTGATTAATCTGCCGAGAGATCTCTCAAAATAACTAACCAGCCATTCCTTTAAATTTATTGTTTATTCGAGTATTTATATTAAAATGTTCAAAGTCCTTTCGTTGTTTATTTATTTCCAGATTATCAACAAAAATATTTTTATTTTCCCCTTGTTGTGTAAATTGACTTTTTGTTGTTTCTGTTAATGAAATACTTGAAGAATTTGCATCGTTTTCTTTCTCTTCCTGTAATGTTTTTTCTGATTTTTTATTTGAATTTGAAGGGGTCTCTTCCATAAAATTTAAGAAAAAAATCTTTAAAAATTTTATATAAAAAGATAAATTCTTGATTGAATAAAGAAAAGATTGTGTTGCCACATTTAGAATAAAGCAGAATTAATAAAATTAATTAATGAAAGAGTGCCCTCTAAAATGCATTGCCCTTTTGGAGATTTTCTTTAAAATATTTCTTTGTTTGTGAAAATTATGTAAAGATTTTTGGATAGATATCAGGGCTGTCCGGGATAACTAAAGCATAATATCAGGTCTGTTCTAACTCGAGAGACATTATCCCTGAACTGTGAACTGAGTTTTTATCTGATTTTAATTTTTTTCTCTCATACCGTACTGAGAAGAAGTAAAAATTTAAATGCATCATTTTTGAAAAAATGAAGGCAAATTAATTTAAAAACAGAGATTTTTAAAAATAGAAAGTTTATTTTTTAAGAGATGTAAATAGATATTAAAATAAATTAATAGAAAAATATTTCTAAAAATTCTTTTTAAATCTATTAAAAATAATTATTAATTTGATACATCTTTTTATTTTATCAAAATTTAAAAACAATTCTTAATATATCAAAAATAGAATGTTTCTATTTATGTTTCAATAAATATTTGATTTTTAAACTCTTAAGCTTAAAACACAATTAATAAAATAGGAAATCTTATTTTTTTTAATAATTTTTGAGGTGTTCTTGGCAACAGAATTTTATTTTAGATATTTAAACACAAATCTATATATCCACTTTCTCCCGTCTTTCAAAAACGGATTTGTGAAATAAAAAAATTTTTTAGGAACAATTGATTTTCCGTCAAATTTCCACCCTTCCCTTTTCCTTCATCTCTCTCACTTTTATTTGATCAGAATTAAATATCTTTTAGAGGAAATAAATGAAAATGAATGTTTTAAGAAAAGGCAACTGGCCATAGCGTCAACTAATAATAAATAAATATATTTATTTAAAAAAGAAAAAAAAGTTTTTAAAATAACCGGACAGAACAGGCAAAAAGGCACACAATAGAAGAAGATATTTTGATAGTATTTTAAGGGAGAGCGCCTGCTTCTCTCTCTCAATTCAGAAAAATTCTGGCAGATTTTAAGGTTGAATAAAATAAAATGAAAGAGAGAATGAAGGGAGGAAGGGGTACAGCTGGGATTGAGAGTGGCTGAAATCAGAGGAATTTTATTGGGAAGAAAAAGCAAAAAAATTAAGGTAAAATGATAGGAATTGGGGGGATGTTAGGGCGTTGGGAAGTTAAGGTAGGGGACTAAAAGTATTGAGGATTTTTTATTGTGAATGGAGGAAGTTTGAAAGGATTCCCTCCATTTTGTTAACCAAAAAATTCTGAATTAGGTAATTCAAAGAATTTTTGGTCATTTGATTATTCTAAAAAATATTACGATATTTTTCGAGTTTTTTACGGAATTTTTAAAATGTTCTTTAAAAAATAAAGAAAGTTTCTGAAGAATTAGTTGAGGATTTTTATTTTATTTTTATTTTTCCTTCATATCTACTTATAAATTCTCTCATACAAATTTCCTCTTTTTATAAGCGCCCAAAACAACCTACGCCATAACAACCCAAAAGAATAAGCTAGGATATAGCCAAGAGAGAAGGGGGATGATCAGAGAGTTGACGTGAAAAGATATCAATTTAATGAAAAAAAATAAAATCAATATAAAACAAAAGGTGAAAATGAAAAAAGAGAAGTATTGAGCTTTTTTGAATTTGGCTAAATTTATTTTTAATTAATTTATTTATAGAAAAAAGATTAAATTACTTTAAGAAATATATTTTTTTAATTCTAGCTTTTCTTGGAAATTTTTTTAAAAAATAAAAATTGAGGAATATGTAAATATATTTTATCAGAGTACCTCCGTATCCGTATAGAGGTCTATATCCGTATCCGTGTAACTCTGTGGATATATCCGTTTTTCTCAAAATGGTTAAATTAATTTAAATTTGTGGAATGGTTAAAATAAAATAGATTAAATCGAACTCAACTAGGGATTAGAATCATTCTGATTATCGGCGGGATTAACAACCAAAACTCCGCCCAATTTTGGGAAACTCATCTCGTTCTACTCTTCTTGTATAATCTCTACAGTAATCGGAAATTTCAGATTTTATTCATAGAGAGAAGATTATAAATGAAATCTGTTTCTCAGATTAGGAATCGAACCCAACTTGAAATCAAAAAACCTGATTGGAGTCCATCAACTTCACCACACAACCAATCGCTCCTGAAAGGGAGACGAAAGAAAGAGAGGATAACTTCTTCAATTTTCTATTAATACCCAGAACCAGGTACTACTCACTTATTTTCTCGTACTCACCATTTAAGTTGTCCCGACAATTATGAGACTCGATTTTGTTACGAAATACAGTAACAGGATAAGAGAGAAGCAATGGAAAATTCTCGAGAATTTATATTTGTTTGAATGATATTCGTTCAATCTAACAAAGTTGAGCCAAAAAATTTTAATATAAAAGCCACCCATTTTCTAATCATTTTCATACAACACATTGCTTCTTCATAATTCAAAACTCAACTTTCTTGTGCCTGTTACAACTACATTCCTGCTAGCTGATGGCTGTTCCTTGCACCCGTCGCCTTCTCTTAATTGGACTTTTGCTGGTGCTTGCCGCTGATAGTGCGTTTGGACGTTTTCTGCCTGCTGCTGTCGAACAACATAATCTTCGCTTCAAACGTGGGGCTGATGACATCTTTCTGCGTGATACTAAGGATTGGAGCAAGTACGGAATCGCTACGGGTGTCTATCTAGTTATGTAAGTTATCCTCTAATTTTCGTTCTTTTAAAAATTGTTTTTTTTTAATTTTAGCTCCCTTGTGATCTACGTTGCTACATTCTGTTGTGCTCTTGAGAAGAAATGCGCCGCTGCTGCGGTAATTATTATAGATTGCGAAGAGTCGCCCTAATTTATTAAAATTCTTTTCAGGGTCCACCTCCTTCGGCATCAGCAACTTCTCTCGGTCCGGCTAGCAGTGTGGCGAGTTCAGCAAGTACAAGAACGGCTAAAGGCCCGAGCCCGAGTGAGGCTAGTATGCGGACAGCGCTGCAACAGTCAATTAGGATGGACTCGAGAACGCAAAGGGAGACGGAGAGGGCTGCTGCTTCATCTCGCAAGTCTGGAAAGGTTTCGCCATCAACTCGCCTTCCAACGGCATCTGCGAAGGAGCAAACGGCATCTAGGAAGACGACGTCTGCCAGGACTTCATCTGCTAGGACCGCATCTGCTGGAACCACATCGAAGAAGAGCACGTCAAAGGCTACCAAGTCGAAGAAAGGGACCTCTTCAAAGGGGACGACGGATACTGGGAAGAGTACTTCGGGATCAGCCCGTTCGACTTCGGGCGGAAGCGGTGTTTTTTGTTTTAGATAAAAAAAATTTTTATTTCATCTTTAGAAAGCGGCAGCAAATCATCTGGTTCCGGTTCCGTCTACTCCGAAACTTCCAGTGGCGCTTCCAGCGGTTCGAATGAGGGTACAACTAGCGGTGGATCTCATAGTTCTGGTTGAAAAGGATAGAAGGAAAAGGAAAGAATGGATGGATGAAATAAAGATATATAAAAGCAAAATACGTTCATGGTTGTGTTGTAGAGCCTATATTGTTGTTATTGTCCTCCCGAAAAAGATTTTGTATTCCCTCCTTCCATTATTGTATTCAATCACATGTAGGTATGTATGTATATTATATGCTATTAAGTCCGAAAATAATCGGGAATGTACTATATTGTTGTTTTGACACAATTATTGTATTCTTTATGTTGTGCTATGTATGTAATTGTCATATGTATGTTCTGTATAAATAACCTATTCCGTGTCATTTGAGGTAATTTCATGTTGTATCATATACTTATGTGTCCGCTTTCAGTAAAGGAGGTGTAATCGAACAAGCCTTGAGGGCTGTCGAATAAGGTCAGGATTGAGTTGTTTAACTTAATTTGGATATGGTCGCTGGGTTCTACACCAGTAACATAAACCTATTCCTATTCTCTCAGCGGTGGACATTCCTGTCTTCCTCCATAGCAAATTCCTGTCTTCCTCCCTATGGTTTTTCGATTTTTGGGGAACTATCTCGGTCCACAGGCATTTTCGCATCTAGAGTGGTATCGTTCGACCCAGCCGACCACGAAGGCTCGAGGAGCTACTCTAGACTTAATCCAAACTAAAGTCCTATAACCAAATAAATTGTAAAAATGAATCAGATATAATTTTTATTTGCATATTTAAAAGGAAATTAGGGTAAAATAGGTCCAAAATTTTGGCAATGAGAATCTAGCATCAGAAATTTACTTTTAAAACTCAATACATAGGACCAACATCTAAAAATATGGGGAATAACATTGATTTTGTTACAATAGATATACATATTCACAATTTAGATAACAATTCTCTCAATGAAAAATAACTACTATGGAAATAGAGTAGGTCGAGGCCTCGCTGAAGCCGAGGTCCTCGGCCATTTTCAAACCTCGACCTCGATTTTTCTGACCTCGGGCCTCGGCCAAAATTTGCCCCACGACCTCGATCTCGGCTTTTCCAGCCTCGGTGATCCTCAGTCTCGGTTTTTTCAAAAAACCTCGACCTACTCTATATGGAAATAAAAATCGACAATTAAAAGATTTGGAAACATTAGAAACAATTAGATTCTTCATCGACAGAAATTGCTGAAGTTTCTTCTTCATTCTTTTTATCATCCAATGAAAGAAGCATTTCATGGAACTAAAAATTAAATTATTAGACAAATTTTAAATTTTTGTCAACTCTATGGAAATCCTGTGCAATTTTAATATCCAAATCAACTGTTTGACTTTCATTTCCAATTTCATTAAAAATAAAAGCAGGGGAAAATACTGGAATATTTCGACGATTAACTGGCTTTTCGTAAACATTAGTTGGTTCAGAAGGACTATATTCTGAAACTTTGTCTTCCCTAAATCCATACATGTTCATCAAAAACTTTTTTAAATGAAGCAAAATAAAACAAGCATGACTATTCTTTCTAAGTTCATAAATTTTTTCCTTGTCCTCCGGAAGATTCTCTAAAAATTAAAAGATAATCTATTTTATAAAAATTTAATTAACAGACTTAAAATATGTTCAACACTAAATTCTTCTGGTTCTTCTATACGGATTGATTTGTTTGAGTTTGTTTCATCTTTGCTCGATCCTAAGCTTCTTTCAAGGTGTGCAGGAACAAGTAATTGGCGTAATTGGCTGAGAATATTTTGACCGGAAACAGAGATAATTGTATCCGCTTGATGAATCACATAAAGAGGTTCATCCATCACAGTGTAAGGAAAATGTGCCAAATTATCAGAAAGGAAAAGCCATTCTTCTTGTTCAGTTTTCTTTAAAAAAATTTGATAACATAATTAGTTTTATTTTATTAAATACTTAATCAAGTCAGATTTATTATAAACTCACATCACTGTTCTCCTCCGAGAAAATTTTCAATAGAGAAGAAAGAAATGTACGTCTGTTTTGCCTATTTGCGCGCACATTAATATAGAAAATAGAAAGTAAAGCTGTAACATCAATTGAATGAGTTAATAATTTTTCACCTAAAAATAAAATCTTAAAATTATTAATATGTAAGTTCATTTCGATTATGCCAACAAAAGTCCGCAACATTTTGCCGCAAGCAGAGTGATTGATTAATAATTACATTTTAACAAAAAATTAAGCAACAATGGCAAAGAAAATCAGAGAGAAGGGAAACCCCGCATGAGTATCACATTACTCCCTGCCTTTAGTGCTGGTAAAATTTGCGGACTTAGTCAGCATAACAGAAAAGGAACATCTAATATTACTATTTGTAGAGGCTCTATTGCTATTCAAAGGATTGTCATTTGCACGAAAACCACGAATAATTTTTCTAGCATTATTTCGAATCTTCTTCTGTAATTCGAAAGAAAGTCTAATACCAGCCACTGCTTTGCTCTGAAAAAATTAATTGAATGATTGTTAGCAAAAAATTAACCTACAAGAATAAGTCCTTTGTATTTTGTATTCATATCTCTAATTAATATATCAACTCCAATTCTGATTTGACTCAAATAATCAGTAGACATTGCTATAAGCGTAGGAATAGATGATCCGGGTGTTACCAATCCTTGTTCCAATGTTTGTCGAATAACTTGAGCAGAATTAATTCGAACATTTTCACTAAAATTTTGTTTTATTTAAATATAAAAATGTAGCTTACTCGTTATGAAAATAACAAGTGAGAATGGCATTCCAGTATTGCTGAATAACACTAGAACTAAGTCCTGATGAGTCCGATTCCATCTCCTTCAAATTGTCAACATTCAATTTTGACTTTTGTTGTTTATCAAAAGCGTCATCAACGATAAGTGAATTCTCTTCTTGTTGCTTTGTTTGTTGTTCTTGATCAAGCTTAACTTGTGCAGCTCTTTTCAATGCCCTCTGTTCTTCAGCAGAAAGAAACCTAGCAATATTTTTTAGGACTTGTACTTTCAATTGAAGGTGTTTTCGGTTGTCAGTGTTTTGAAGGTGTTCATTTGGTGTGTTTTTTGAAGGTGTTTTGGTCAAAAGAACCTATAAAATAAAAATATAATAGATATTCAATTTTAAAAAATAACCATATAAATATTCTTCAATTTTTCTTTACGCAAAACCTCAGGACATCCAGCGGAGAATTGGCCTGAGTTATAAAATAATCTATGTTAAAGAGAGAAAAATTAAAACCTAAAGCAATCAAAGCCATTTTCGATAATGCATAATAAGAAGACAAGAATTGAATATAATAAGAAACAAGAATTGAAAAAACAGAATTTCTAACTATGTGTTCTTGTTCGTTAGATTCACTAGCAGGATTAATATCAATAAAAAGGTCCCGTTGTTCATTTTTTAAAAGAATATCAAAATCAAAGTAACGGCACATCGATCCAATTGAATATAGTACCTGGCATAGTATTCGAAGTTTATCTTCAGTATTAGACGTAGACGATGTCGAATTATTACTTCGTTCATCAAGTTTCAATTCAGGTTTTTGTTTTTTGAGATATTCTAATTGTAAGAATAAAAATTCTTTAAAAATGATTAAGTAAAAAATATTTTTATTTTAAAATACAAACTGTAAAAAACGATGAAAAGTCGACAAATGCTCGGTTGCTCCTCATTTTGTAAAAACTTTAATTGAATTTCAGCCATACAGGATATAGCGCTGTCAATCAAATTCGTACAACCACCCTCTTTAACAATATCGCTTAATCGTGTATCTAATTGTCGAATAAGTGTTTGTGAGGTATTATAACTGTCCATCATTGGAATAATCTCTTGCAACATTTCAATTATCTAAAAAAATTTTAAATTTTCGTCCATAGCGTTTTATATTTTAATTTACTTTGCTAAGCAGTTGGTCTTGTAAAGGTGAGGAACTTGAAATGGACAAATATGGGATAAAAACTTCGATGTGGCCTATCAGTAATTCTGAACGTGCTTTGGCAAAGAAAGATAGAATAGTTAATGTTGCAGATAATCGTGTCTGGTAATCCTGTGTTGATTTAACTAGACTTACTTCACCCAATCCTTGATCTAAACATTAACGAAATTTGTATAAAATTAAATGATTAGCAGAAAATACCTCGAACAGACTCTTTCTCTAAATTCAAAACATAATTTACTAAAGCGTCAACTATTTGTTTAGAGGCAATAATAATATCTTGCTCTTGAGAATTTTTAACTAACAATGTAATTAATGTTCCAATATAATCTTCAGATTGCTCCCCTATGCTAAAAACTGCTGTCTCAACAAGAAGGCGAACCTAAAAGTATCATATATGTAGAAGAAATCTTATTAGATAAACCTTCTCATCCAATTTAGCAGCATCACGGGTTGGAATCATCCAAAGCTGTTGAAAAACCTCAATACACATTTTCTTAACTCCTTCTTCATCATTAATTCTTTGAATAATTACATAAATAATTTGAGGAGATTTTTCAAACTTCGGTCGAAGATGTACAACTTCTTTTAGAATTCGAATCACTCGTTTTCTGACAGCAACTGCTGTGTCCTTAATTTTAATAAAATTTAAAAAAAAAACTTGAAATTATATAACCCTTGTTCTATTGAGTAATATAGAATAATAAGTATCGAATAATTCTGGCTTGGATACAAGGCATTTTCCAATTAAATCGAATGTTGCTTCCCTAACTGCTGCATTGGCATCAATCAACCGGTCTTGAACTATTTTGTTGACTTCAGGCTGTAAAATAAATGATTAATAATATACAAGTGCATAGCTGAAGCCCCCCCCCCCCGAAATAGGATAAAAAATTTTTGGAGGGAAATTATCAATAAAACGCAATTTTTAAGCACCACTTTTAATAATAAAAACTAACAATCATCAGCACTTGTGAATCTGCTTCAACAATTTGTGCCAAGCATTTCATTGCTTTAGTTCGAATCGCAACAGGATATAGATCTGGTTTGAAACCTTCCAAAATCCGTCTCAAATATACATCAAATAATTGTCTGTAATAATTTAAATTAAAATTTGTTCAACTACATAAACAAACGATAATTCTTTCTTCGAAGCCAAATACTTGACAACCCAATTTGCATCACATTCCACAAGAGCACTTCCATTCTTTGAGATGAATTGCCCTCGACGTTTTATATGTTGTTTATCCATAAGTCCCATAATAAACAGTTTCATGCTTTGACCTTTTTCAGAAATTCTTTGTATTTTCTGATCATTTTTCTGGCTTTCTTTGCGCGAAACATCACCCTTTCCAGTTGCTTTTGCATGACGCTCCTTACAAACCTCAACATCTAATACTGTCTCGCGGTACCATTCAACGGCATAAAAGAGAAGAACATACTGAAAAAAATTAAAAGAAGAGAATTAGTAAAACGAAAAAAAACCTCTACAGAAACATTTTCTTCCCGCATAGTTCCAATTATATAATCAAATAATGCTTGTTCAAGTTTGCGTATTTTCTCACTCGAAGATAGCTGAAAATAAAAATATTTTCCGGAAATTAAAAAAAATCAAACATGGCTAATGTCAACATCCTCAACATTATAACTTGGATCATAAGCATTCTCATCAAATAGAATACTCTTTACAATAGAATTTAAACGATCCTTTTCCTGTGCTGAAGATTCAGCCGAAAGGACAGCAACTCTATCCTTACGTAAACGAGCAGTAATTATACCCAAATAATCGAGCGAAGCAATTCGTAAAGATAAATCAAATGTTTTGGAGCGATAATGCACAACCAATAAATTGCCCAAGACAGTAAGAATCATTTCGGCTACAGGCCACATTGGTCGATGTAGAGCAACTAGTATGTCCTAAAATTAAAAATGAGTAACTAAACAATTAAAATCAAAATGAATATGAATAATACGGCAAATGAACCCCAAAAAAATTATAGAAAATTAACCGAAAGAAACTGTTCAAACAATCGTCTATAATCATCTTCAGCCTTCGCTGTACATTTCCCTAAGAAACCACCAAGAAAAAAAGCAGCCAACTTTTTAGCTTCATCATAAGAATCAACAACAATTTTATCATCTGAATCACGAATTATTTTTTCATGACGATAATCATTTTTATGATGAACGGTTTTCCGTGGAGGTAACTAAAATTTTTATAAAAAAATTAATGGCACCAAAACCTGAACAGCTGATTGAATTAATTGCAATATAAGAACAGTAAAATTTCCAATAGACTCGTTAGCACTAAGACGATGGGAATTGCGAATGTTGCGTGTCAAAGGCAGTTTATGAACCATGTTAAGAAGATCAAGCAATATAGTTCGCCGTAGAGTAGGGCATTTAGCAAAAATAATAGGAAGGAGATTAATTGATTGCATTTGAACTTCTGGCACATTCTCAACAAAGAATGGGGGTGTACAAAGTGAACTTAATTGAATCATCAATGTTTCGCTTAGACTATGAAGACGAGCCTAAAATATTTAAGATTAGAATTGTGACATTATAAAAAATATAAAAAACCAATTCTGAAAAACATGTCAATAAATCAAGAAGTCTGCTATACAATTGTGAAGTATTGATATTTCTTGAAATGTTTCGTTTTTTAATAAATGAACAATCTCCTGATTTTCGTAATTTAGAAGATTGTACTTTAAGAGAATTATCGGTATTTGGATAAATAACTTCTTGGAGGCATTGTTTGCATAATTGAACTGAACGCTCAAATACATCCTCTACTAGGACCTTTAAATAAATTAAAAAAAAACTAAACATTAAAAAAGTGTACTTGTTTCGGCATTCGCCTAGAAGTCATAATACATAAGGCCGTCAAAGCAGCATCAACTGATTTAAGCAAACGTTCGTCTATCAATTCACGAAATGCCTCATCAGTTTCATCACTCTAAAAAAGCGGAAAGAGACAGAAATTAAAATAAAAAATGTACAAAAAAACCTCATTTCCTCTAATACGAGCATAAAATGCTGTGCCATCAACATCGTCATCATCAATTAAAAACTCTCGAATATTCTTTTCTAGCACCGTCAACAATTTGACAAGTTTCTCTGTAGGTATGTCAGAAAGTTTTTGCCAAAATTTTAATTTCTGGGCCTCTTCTCTAAGTTCTTCCAATTTAGATTTTTCAATAGAAAATCCAGATTCCTCAGATAAACCTAAACTCATCGTTGATGTAGGTAATGTACTCATTTCTTCATCCACTTGGTCAAGAATTTCATCAACACGTTTAGTAAAAAGTTTAAAAGATGCACTTTCAGCAGCAGTGTCAGTATTCCAACCTTCCATTTGTTGGGTATTTTGCATCATATTGTTTCGCTTTTTGTATTTTTCTTCTCTTTGTCTTTGCCTTTCATTCCATTCTAATTCTCGCTGTTTAATCACTTAAATTTAATTTTAAATTATAAAATTGTTGCAAAAATATATAAAACCTTCTGTAGGCGTTGGAGGCCTATTTTGAATAATTTTTGTTTTAATCTCGACAATTTCATTGTTCTCGGTAGATCTTCGTCTTTTCCGCGACTTTTTAACCTGTGGAGAAACACATGGAGAAACAAATATTAATTCTCGCATTTTTAAATTTATTACTTAATTAAAATTTAAGTCTGCTAATTGAAAGGAATTTAAAGAGATACCAAAAAACGAAAAGAAATTTTACAGTAAATTATAAAGTGAGAGAAAAACCCGCAAAAAAGGGCTAATCGAATCATATTCTGAAACGTCCGGTTGGGGTCACTAGAGTGCCACCACTAGAGTGTTGCCTCTAGAGAGCGGGCGAGAGTTTCCAACAATGAAAAATCTCGGTCCAACGACGGGAAAGTTGTTCCAACAATTGGGGATGTTGCCGGCATTTTTAATCTATTGGCACTCTAGTGGCTCGCTCTCTATTGGCTCAACTCTCTAGTGCCCGCTCTCTTGTGGCGGCACTCTAGTGGCCCGTTACGTGAAACGTCCGGCAGGGGACGTTTCAGAATGATCGATTCACAATTAAGAATTTCAAAAAAGGCTTCGAGCAAACTTAATCAAGAATCGATCATTCTTGACTTTCGAATGATATAGGAATTCTTCTAATCAGTTGAAAATCAAAAAAGTTAAAATCCGTCCTAAAACGGCCATTCTGAAATGTCCCCTAAAAAATTCAATTTTTGGCATAATGTTTTTAAAAAACGCCAAAAATTTGTCTATTTAAATTCAAGTCCAAAAATCCGTCAGAATTTCTCGGAGCTGATTTGATTGTTTATCAAATTACGACATTTTAGGGGAAAGTCTTCATCTATTTTTTTATAAAAAAGTAAAATCCCAACCGATATAAAATTGTTAAGAATATTTTAACAAGTTGGCTAATTTAATGCTTGTAAATTTAATCAACTTACATCATTTTTGCAGTCATTTTCGTTATCCTCACTTGCTGAATGGTGGGATATTAAAAGATTTTCCTCGGATTCTTTTGTTTCAATATTTATTTGTTTGTTACTTTTTGAGGGAGAATTAATGTTTGAATCAACCTAAATTTTAAATTATTTTTATTTTATTTTTTTACAAACAATTTCTTTTTGTTTTTCTTTTGTTGTTTCAATTTCTGGTTTATTTAATTGTTCAGATATTGAAGTAGTTGACATTTGATTATTTTGTTGTTGTTGTATTTCATTTTCTTCTAAATTCTCAAAAGGTTCGGGTTCAACACTAAAAGCAAATTGGCTAATTAATTGAATAGCTTCTACAAGTGGAGGAAGTGGGGAAATTCCAATTAATTGATCATTTGCTTCATCATCCATCTTTTTTAATTCTCTAAAATTTTTAAAAAAAAATTCGAAAAAAATATTTAATTTTGTGTCCAATATTTTATTTTCCTGCAAAAATTTTCTCTTTCAGATTTTGCCAGAAAAAAATTTTATATATTTTACTTGATTTCATTTAATTTTTGTCTGATTAGCTTAAATTTTTAAGAGAAAAATTTTCGGAAACAAAACCCAAACTCACATTTCACGTAAATTATCAGTTGAATCAGAAAGTAAAGTTGCCAAATAATCAGCTAATAAAGGGTCTCTATTTGAAAGAACCATTTGTGCCTGATGCTGATCAAAACAAGATAAAGCTGTTGAAGAAATTGTTTCTGACGGGAAAGGAATAAAATTGTTGACTGAAAAAAAGAAAAATTTTTTTCAAAAATTTTTATAAAAAAACCTTTCGATAAAGTATGGCAACCGGCCAAATGTATTGGATCTGGAATACTTTGCAATTTCTCTTGTATACCTTGAGTTCGTTCTCTAGCACTTAACTGTCTTCTATCTAAATCTTCTTGCACTAATTGACTGAAAAAAAATTTTTTTTTGAATTTTTTTGGAATTTTTTCTTCTAAAAACCTTTGTTTAGCATTTTCTTGTGCTTTTCGTTTAGCTTGTAATTCCAATTCTTTTTCTGCCAATATTTTAGGATTTTCGGGTGATTTCATTTTTTGAATTAATTGAGGCTTTTCTTTGTGTTCAAATGAAGAACTGGCTAAATTTTGATTGGGAACTTTTAGAGGAAAAATGGGCTGTTGGGAGGTTTGTGGTTGTTGTTGGGGATAGTTTTGATGGACGTAAGGGATTGAAGTAGATGTTGAGGCCTTAAATATTTTTTGAATTTTTATTTTTCCGTTTTTAATAAATTTCCAATAAAGAGGGAAATATGAAAAAATGTTCAAGTGGAAAAAATTTTAATTTATAGTTTTTTACATACCCCCTTTTTCACCGTTTTTCTAACCATTTTGAGCTTTTTTTGTTTGACAAATAATTTACCACATACATATCATTCTAAAGAGCTCTTCGAGCTTGGTCGAATGATATTATGACTGGCTAGATCTAATCATTCCTACTAAAATTATGAAGCTAAATCCTAGTTGGGTGAACTTTTTATGTCAATCCAAGAGGATAAAATAAGCGGTCATAACTTTGTTCACTTAAGTCAGTTTTCGTTAATTTTAATTTCATTCGGCTCTGCTCGAAGAGCTCTTTCGAATGATATATAATTTGCCATAAAATGAGAAAAAACTAGGAAAAATGGAGAGGAAGGGGGGCGAATTTCAAACTATTACCAACAAAATTTTAAAAAATAATTTTAGAAAAAAAATAGAAACAATTGAGGAAGAAGGAATTTGTTGACGTTGCTGTTGACAGTGAATCTGTTGTTTTTGTTGCTCCAAATATTGTTGCTGTTGTGCTAACAACAAATATTGTTGATGTGCAGCTAGAGAAGAAGCCAAATCGGGCATGTAATTGTTGTTTGAAGTAGATTGTTGGGGAAATAATAATTGTTGGTGGGGGGCAGGGGGTGATTGAAGGATTGTCCCAAATGTTTGGGGAGTTCTAATTACCTCTGTGGAAGGTTGGATGTTTGGTGGAAACATTTGAGTCTTTATAAAAGAATATAAAAATTTTTTGAGAGAAAAAGAAAACTTTGGTTATTGATTGAACATCTCCAATAAGAGAAGACATTTCATGAGGGACAGAATTTATTTGTGGATAATATTGCTGCCTTCGGGCAAACTTAAAAAAACAATTTTTAAAAACCCCCAAAAAATAAACAAACATCCACATGCATAGAAGCATTAGAAATTTGTTGTAATTGAAGATCAAAATGATGATTTTGTACAACAGCAGGATTTAGTTGTTGGGGGTGAACTAATGATGGATTATAATTACTACCCGAACCAAATACTAGAAAATTTAAGAAAGTTTTTAAAAATTCTTTTAAAAAATTATTTTTTAGACCTTGCGGATGTTGTTGTTGCTGTTGCGACATTAAAATAATTTCTCAATAATTTAGAATTTTTATTTCATTTAAATAAATTTTTCAATATTTTTTTAAAAATTTTTTGGTTTCTCTAAAAGATTTTAAATTTAATGTAAGCTTGTTTGTTTTTTGCCAAATTGAAAATGGAAATATAAATTGTTCGGACAACTATGATTCTCGATACTTATTGTTAGCTATATGTAACTTCTAATGGGATACTCGAAATATTTACATATCTAGTAATTGCGGTCTCATCAAGTTTTTTAACAAAATTTCTGTCGCTGATTTTAATTTCATCCCAAATTTAAGTAAAACAAATGAATATGTTTTACAGTAAATGCCGAATTCTGTCTTTTAAACAAAAAATCTCGATTTCCTAAATATTACGAATCGATGTACGTTGCTTGTAAAACGACTAATTCGAGTTATGGCCATTGAAAATTTCGGTCTATGGGATGTTTGAGTATAAGGAAGAGAGAAGAAGGGAATGAGCCTCTTTTTGTCTCTTTCAATAAACTGGGGCGATTCACCATCAGACAGTTCACCAAAAAAAGTTTTAATTTACTTTAGGAACGTTTTCTTATTTCTTCATGATAGTATGTCAAACTTTCAAGTTCATTATGCATTGGTTTTAAGAAAATTTTCAAAATTTATATTTATACAACAACATAGATTGTTTTCAACTGAAACAAAAATTGAAAAATTTACTGAAAATGTATTACTCAAATCATTAAATAAATATACACCAGGTTTGTTTATTTTTTAAATTTTTTTTATAAATTTTTAATAATGTTTTAGATAAAATTCGAAATTTTGCGATAATTGCACATATTGATCACGGTAAATTTTTTTATAACTTCTATTTAAATTTTGGCTTCATGTAAGGGTAATGGTTAGCATCGTTCCCATTTTTTCCTTATCAATGAATCATAATTAACAGACCTTCGAAGGAAATTAAAATGTAACTAACTCCCTCTTTAACTTACATTTTAGGCAAAAGTACACTTTCTGATCGATTATTACAATTAACAAATGTCATTCCATCTGATTCAGAACAAAGATATCTTGATAAATTGGAGGTGGAAAAAGAGCGAGGAATTACTGTTTGTTTGTTTTTTTAATTGACTAGGGAATTTTTGGAGATTTTCTGAAATAAAAATTTTTTAATTTTCCAAATTTTGTTTTAATTTGATGTTTTTTTTTGCACTTTTTCAGGTTAAAGCCCAAACTTGTACTATGTTTTATAAAGGAATGATGCTGAATTTAATTGATACGCCTGGCCATGTTGATTTTAAGTAAATTTTTCTTGTTAAATATTTTAGAAACAATGTTCATAATTTTATTTTAGTTTTGAAGTCAAACGTTCTTTAGTTGCTTGTGGTGGTGCTATTCTTCTTGTAGCTGCAAATCAAGTTTATTTATCTCTTTTTTATTTTTTTTATTTTTTAAGGGAATACAAGCTCAAACAATTTTTAATTTTTGGGATGCCTTCCAAGCCGAATTGTCAATAATTCCAATAATAAATAAAATTGATATGGCATTGGTGGATGTTGATAGAATTGAAAAACAAATGGAAACACTTTTTGATTTTAAAAAAGAGGAAATACTTAAAGTATCAGCAAAAACTGGATTAAATGTCCCTTCAATTTTGGATGCAATTATTGAAAGAATTCCTCCGCCTAATCTTGAAATGAAGGAAGAAAAATCTTTTCAGGCACACATATTTGATTCTTGGTATTTTTTTTATTTTAATCGGGAATCTTTTATATAACCGATAGGGCTGGGGGCCCGGTCCGAAAGATGAGTCGGGCATTGAATTTTAGCCCGAAAAATACTCGGTCGGGCCGGCCCGGTAAAATGAGCGCGAAAAAATGACTCGAACGTCGGCCCGACTTGGAAACCCCAACCCTAATAACCGACGCTGTAAATTTTCATTAGCCTGTCGGCGAAATGTTTCATAAAAGTTCTATTTTGTTTTAAATAAATTCCTAATTTACCCTCTTTTTGTTTGTAATTTTCTATTAGCTTTTGAATAAACATTAGTTATAATTTTCATTTTTCAAAATTTTTTAAAACATTTTTCCTTTACCTTCTAGGTTTGATCATCGTTACGGAGTTGTTTTACTTTTGGTTATTAAACATGGACAGTTAAAACGTGGAATGTCAGTTCAGTTTTTTAATGACAAAGAACGTGTCTATAATGTTAGACAAGTTGGTTTTTTACATCCAGAGATGGTTCCATGTGAGGTTATTTTAAATTTATTTATAATCGTTTTTATTAAATCAACTTGTAATAATTAGGACAGGAATTTAATCGCAAAAATATTTTTTTATTTTAAAATTGTATTGGACCGGGCAAACTGGGTTTATTGAATTTTTGTATTCCAAGAAATTTTACTTTTAAAATTTTGCATTATAGTAATTTTTATAACTTTTTTTGGCAATTGTGTCGAATTGGGGTCCCTTTGAAAAATTAATTTAAAAAATTTAAAAAATTGCGAAAACATTCTCTAGGCTAACTTTCGGCGCTGATCACCAATCTTAATTCAGTTTTTGTCTAACACTTGATTTGTCTATGATTTTCGGACCCCAATTCGACACAATTGCCACTTTTTTTATGTCCATTTTCTTGCCTTTTAAAATTTTTCATTTATTCGTGAAATCTTTACCGACATTTTAGTCATTAACTACAGGCCAAGTTGGTTATATGTATTGTGGAATTAAATCACCAAAAGATATTATTGTCGGAGATACTATATTTGAAGCTGGAAATAAAATAGATATACAGCCTTTTGTGTCAATTAATAAAATAAAACCAACAGTTTATGCTGGGCTTTTTCCAACGGAGTCTTCGGAATTTGAACGTTTAAATGTTTGGATTTTGAATAAATTTAGAAAAAATATTTTTTAGAAAGCTGTTGAAAATCTTTGTTTAAATGACTCTTCTGTTGAAATTGAGACTGATTCTAGTGCTATTTTTGGACAGGCAAGTTTTTTAGGAGTTTAAAAATTTTAAGTAGGATAGTTAAATTTGCGAAAAATTATATTTTTGTATAATACAAAATTTTTATAATTTACAATTAGCAGAATATTTTTTAAAATAACTAGCGGTTATTTTAAAAAATAAAAATAAGTAAAAATAAAATAATAAAAATAATTTTAAAAAATAAGTTTTTAAAATATGTAACTAGTCGGCCTTCGGCCGCCCCGCTAGCAAAAACAAACCAAAAGCAAACTCAAAATCGACTTATCACAACCTCAAAATTGGCCCTAATCCAAACATAATCAGTAAAACCCGATTATCAAAACATTGACCAGCATTAAAACATTTCAGACAGACAGACACAACCTTCTCAATTATATAATAAGATTTTTTATTAAATTTATCTGTCAAAAATTTTTTTCGACTTTTACTGAGTTTTTCACTTGTAATTCTTTAATTATAAATTAATTTTAATTATTAAGGGATGGCGAGTTGGCTTTATTGGTAAATAAATTTTATTTAATTTTAATTTTCTTATTTTTGGGAAATTTGCATATGGAAATATTTGGCCAACGTTTAGGTTTTTTTGTTATTTATATTTAAGTAATTTTGGTTTTATTTTAGAAAAAGAATATGGAGAATTGGCTGTCTTTACTTCCCCAACAGTTGAATACTTGGCAGGTTTATTTTGAATTTTTTAAATTCTTTTTTAAATAACCAAGAAATAGACGAGAATTTTTTATCTTTAAGGGTCACCTAAAGTTTTATTTAGACTAGCACCCTGAGCCTTCGGGAGCGGGATCGTCGGGGGTTGGGGTAGAGCCTTCGGGTCGGGGTTCGGAGAACAGGTGTTACCCTACTTTTATTTAAAAAATAAATTTTTAGATATTGTTAATAATGAATCAATTAGACAAAAACGTTATGGAGGGAAAGAGCAAATTGTTATTTCAAAACCTTCATCTTTTCCTAGCTGTCCAACAGATATTGTTTGGTACTTTATTTTTATGATTTTTTTAAAAATTTTAAAAGAAATTTAACTCAAAATTCAAAAAAATTTCTAGTTATCACGAGCCAGTATCTCTAGTTTCAATCGTTACTCCAGCCGAATATTTTCAATTAATTAATTCTTTATGTGAAAATGCCAGAGGAGAAAATATAGAGACAATGTATATTGACGAAACAAAAATGTTACTTAAATGGAGGTTTTTTAGAAAATAAAATTGTTTTTTAAAAATATTTTTTTTAAATTTTTGGTTACCTTTATTGGATATTATTGTTGACTTTTTTGATGATTTAAAAAGACTAACAAGTGGTTATGCTTCTTTTGATATGAAAGATGATGGTAAGGGAGAGGGATGAAGGATTTTATAATTTAATTTAATATTTATTTTTAAAAAATTTTAAAGAAAATAAATTTTTTTTCCATAATTTTTTTTTTCGTTCCATTTTTTTAATTTTCCATTCCCTTTGGTTTCGTGTGTAATAGGAAACTTTCAAATCGGTTTGATAAGTTGTTGGTTCAAATTTTTTATTAAAAAAACTTTTTTTGTATAACTAATTAAAAGAAAGCTTTTTTAAAAATATTTTTTTTAATTAAAAAAAAATTATTTTTCAGGTTATAGAGAATGTAAATTAGAGAAGATTTGTATTTATTTAAATGACAAACAAATAGAAGAATTATCGTTAATCTGTCCAAGTGTAATTGCAAGAAAACGGGCTAATCAAATGATTAATAAATTAAAAAATGAAATTCCTTCTCAACAAATCGAAGTTACAATAAGGGCTTCTTTTGGCACTTCGAGAAAAGCTGTGGCACAAGCAATTATTAAACCAATGAAAAAAGATTTTGCTGGAGTTTTGAAGGGTAAATACATAATATTTTTGAAAAATAAATTGTTGAAGTTGCTGCTTTTTATAAAATTTTCGGGAATTTTTTCTTCTTTACCCCCGTTTTTTTAGAAATTTCTTTGATTACTCCTCCATGTTTTATTCTGTTCTGTTAAGGAGCAACTTGGTTCACTTTTTTTCTACAAGTTAATTAAACTTGTTTTTAGGCAATTTTGTGGCTGATCGTCTTGGGAAAAAATTAAAACATCAAAGGGAAGGAAAAGAAAGAATGAAAAATGTGGGAAATGTTAGAATACCACATCAAGCTTTTCTTAATGTTTTGAGAAAATAATTTAATAAAAAAATTTTATTCTTGAATTTTTTAAAGATTTTTTTTGTTTGTTCGATTAAATCCCGAAGCCAGAGATTCTCTTATTCCTTGCGATATGTACTTACAAATTAGCCTCAGGTTTAATTTCTTTCTTTTAATCCTCAAGTCTTTAATTTTGAAAATATTAAAAATGATGTTTGGAAGAGAAAAGATTATTCTCAAGCAATTAATAAACATCTTAACTTTTAAAATTAATAAATTTCTCTAATGATCATTAAACTTTTATTGATTTGAAATGGTCAATTCATTAAATAATTTCTATATAGATATTTTCTATCCCCATTTCCCCCAATGTAAGGGTAAAACTAATAGTGTGAAAAGACAGTAAAAATAGGGGGAAAGGGCGTTGAGACTGTGTCATTACTGACTGGTTTGTTTATTGAAGGACGCAGATGGATGGATGACCTCTATTCGTTCAGTTATTTTGGAATTTTTTTGTCCTAAATTAATGATTTTTTTTAGCATTTTTGCCATAAAATATAGAGATTTTTTTAATTTTTGTAAAATCCTGAATTTTGGCATTCTGTCAAAATGAGAGAAAACTGAATTAGTACAAGAATTCGACCTTTCCCTACTTTGGTTTTACTCTTAATACCTTTCTAGAAGTTTTACTAAACAAATATTTTTTAAATAATAAAATTTTTTTTATTTTTTCTTTTCATTTTATTTTTCTCGCGCAGGTCATTTTGCATTAAATAAAAGTAGTTGTAACTACCTAATCGATCTTTCGCTAGGTCATCAAAAGCGAAAAGAATGCAAATTCTTTACTTCTTTTAAACACACAAAACACCTGCACATCTTTAACCAAAAACTTGGGTGTTTCTATTCAAAACTTTTGAATATTTTTTGTGTTTTACTCCTCCCTGTTTGCGCTCAAAAATTATTTTTTCTTTGTTTTAGAGAGCGTCATTTAATTTAATTATTTTTATTTTGTTGCCCAAATTTGGATTGACTAAATTTTGTTTTAAAAAATTGACTGGAAATTAATTTTTGTAAAAATATTTTTATTATCCAATTTATGTATTTAATTGTTGTTAATTTTTAATTTTTTGCAACATTTTTTTTAAATTTTATTTTAAACATTTTTTGTAGTAAAATTGATTTATTTCACTTTGTGTTAAACTTTGTGTAACTGTGAAAAATGAGATTTTGAAAAGATCTGAGTACATAATCCCGTGTATATTCATTTGGACTTTAGTATAACCCCCCAAGTTGATATACTTGTTTAACTTTTCTACTCCAAAAATTAATAAAATAAGTAAAAATATAAAAATACAAAGCTTACCTCTAAATTCTTTTTCAATTTATTCCTTTCCATAATTAGTCTACAACAATTAACAACCTAAAAAATATGAGTGCTTTTGCTTGTTCTTTTATAAAAAAATATATACAAAACGAGTATATGTACATAATTATTATTTGTAGGTTCAATTTAATTTTAATTGTAGATGTTGTGTTTTTATTTAAAGCTTTCGATATTTTTAAGAGCCTCCTTAAATTGCACCTCCGAACCTTTTTTATTTAAAGCAGCAGACTTCCTTTATTACCCAAAGAGCTGAATAACTTTGGGTGTCAACAACCTTTTATTAATTTATTCTTCTAAGTAAGGATTTTCCCTAGATTTTTCTAAAATTTTTACTTAATCATTTTATTAAATTACTTTAAAATAAAATCAACAAGGTTACTATTTATTATGAAAAATATTGAAATAATTTACATACTCCATACATTCTTAATTTTTCCTTCATTTTTCTTGAATTTTAAAAATTTACATAATATTTTTTGTATTTTTACAAGACCACGCATGATATCTTTTTATTTATCCTTATTTATTTTTACAAAAAGCCTGTCTCTACAATCTTTTTTTAAAAAAATTATTTTTACTTCTTAAAATTATCCTGTATATAATTAAGTACTTCAAGTTATTTTTAATATTTTTACTCTTCTCCGATTTCCATGAAATAAATAGTATATAATTTTTAAATAAGAGAAAACTAATGAGCAATTGTGAATAAATAAATGAATAATTTTTTGTTTATCCACTTTTTGTGTCCGTTATTTTCTTCTGTTAACCGACACTTTACAAACCTGCAATTTTCAAAGATTAATTTATAATTGAAATATATGTAATTTAGAAAAGAATTTATTAATTCTGATTTTAATAAGGACAATGTTTTAATTCCCCAAAATTCCTATCTCTTTTAAAAAAACATTTTGAGACCTAATTGTGAGAGGACCGGGCACTAATTAATAACACTAACAAATTCACAAACAATAATTTCTAATGTGAAAGGAACATCATTTACACCCTAAAAATGCTTTTGTTTAGTCGTTAAAAAAATTTACTGCTAAAAAGTCTGGTAGAAAAGGCCTATTTCCCCTACCTCAAATTCCAATCTCAACCCTTCTTCCTACACAATAACCAACCAAATTAAAAATCCTTAAATTATGTACATTATTGGGTATACGTAAAATTAAATTTTAAATTTATTTGTTTACTCTTATCAAAAACACGTTAAAATTTTTGTTAAATCTACTTAACATTAGAGATAATCTATTAAAAAAATATTTCATTTCCTTTTTTTATCCCTTTCACAGTCCCCGTTCATTTTTTGATTTTGCTTTACTCTGCAACACTTGATTTAGTTGTGACAACACAAACAAACTGGCCTAGCATTTATAAAAGAGAAGACGAGTGGATTTTTAAAGAGAATAACTACATGAAACGGGGAAAATTGTAGTTGGGAAGGGGGGGATGGGGGACTCATTCATTGAAGGAAGAATAAAGAATAGCTCTTTTCTTTCCTTTAACTATTTTATGGGAGCTAAATAATAATATTTTTTTTGTTAAAAATTAATGGAAGTTAAAAAAATATTTATTTTATTAGTAGAGTAAAAGGAAACATTCCCTCACGCATTACCTTGAAAGTTTCAATGTTCATTTTTGCTTGTTTTTGGATAAATCCAGTTAATTCTTTTCACCATCCTCATGTTTTAGTGCACATACATAAATACAAATTAACTTCAAAATTCCTTTAGGACTTTCATCTATAATATCTTAGTTCCAAATATTTAAAATAATTTATAAACCAACAAAATATTATTCTCTAAAGCTGGCAACTTCCCAATAACTCTCCCAACTTTCCTATTCTCACATTTTTCACGAAGGCTACCATTTTTTAAAATAAGTTTATTTTTAGATTTTTAACTTTTTAATATTAATGGGAAGATATTATTATTTTTGATATTTACATAATTATTTTTTTCATTATTTTTAACAACAAAAATGAATTTATTAACATTTGGATTTATTAATTATTTTATTTTTATTTGTAGTATGTTTTTAAGTAATTATTTAAAAAATTATAAATTTAATTTTAAAAATAGTTTTGTGTACATTTATCGAACAAAGCTTTGCCACAGAAAAGTTAAATCCTCCAGTTGCATTCCCTATATTTAGACCACCTTTGGAGGCTGTTCAACGATATAAAACTTCCGCAGAACATGTAAGTTTTTGAATTTTGAAATTTAAATATTTTCTAAATAATTTTGGTAATTGATTAAGGATATCCAAAAGAATTTCTTTTAACCGACAATCTTAATTCTCTAAACTTTTGTTATTGGTACAATAAAAAGTAAACTAATCAAAATTTATTTTATCTCATTTAGTGTTCGAAAGTCTTAGGATATTCGGCACCTATCCAAAAAATTCTCGACTGTTCCCCATTGTTTATAAGATTTTTAAAGTTATATTTTACTTTAAAAATTTTCTGTTAATTTTTTAGTTACAAAAACAACATTCTTCTCAACATTTAAACGATACACAAATAGAAATTGAAGAAATTTCAACAAATTTTAGTAATGATAATAATACTTTTGTTGAACCTTCACTTGAAGGATTATTGGGGGATGTAGAGGAAGATGCAAATGAGGAATTTATTGAAGGAAAAATAAATAATAATAAAACAATTATTGAAGAACAAAAACAAAATAATACTTTAGAGAATTTGGGGGGAAATTTTGGAAAATTAAAAAATGAAATAAAATTGAGGTTTGTTAAGGGGAAAAAATGGAAATTAAATTAAAGAAAATTTTATTTAATTTATTTTTTATTTAAAAAATAATTTTTGTAATTTAAAACAAAAATTCATTTTCAGGCATTTAAACAATTCAATTAATGCCACAAAAATAATAAATACACCTCAATTTCCTGTATTTACTGGTTTGGGGATGGAAATTATTGGTAAAAAGTTTTGTTATTAATTTAGGAAAAATATTAGATAGATTTTCAGGGGAGAAATTTGAAATTTTTGATATAAAAAAATAAAATACTCATCCCCCTATATTTAATTTTAAATAATTTTTAAAGATGTCTCACCTTCAAATGATGCTGAAAAAGAAAATAAATTTAAAGAAGAAATACCTTCCCTTCCTCCTCCTCCTCACAACCACCAACAACAACTTCAATTTAATAATCACCATAAATTACATTATTATTTAAATAAAAATAATACAAAATTAAATAAAAAATATCATCCATTAAAAATAAATAAAGAACAACAACAAGAATTACCAACAACAACAATTCCTTTAATTCAATTATTACCTACAACCCCCAAAAATTTTGAAGAAGAAAATAATCCTTTTTTTGTACAACAGAATTTATCAGAACAAAAATTAAATAAAACAGAAAATAAACAATTAAATATTTCTGAAAATGTTGGGGAGGATATTGAAGGAATTAATTTAATTAATGGAACTGAATCGAATAATAATGGTAAGGAAAGGGGAAGGGGGGTTTAAATTGAAGAGTTGTTTTAAACAATTATTTTATTTGCTAATTTACATTAACAAATTAATTTAAATAAAAAAAATTAATTCTTTAGAAAATAAACATGCCAAAGAGGATATTAATAACAAAACAATAATTGATGAAAATAAAAATATTAGTACCTCAAATACTACAATTACTTCAATTACCTCAAGTAAAGGTAGAAATTTATTTTAATTTTAATTTAATTTAATTTTGATTTTTTGTTTAAATTAAATTATCTGAGGATTTAATTAGGTTGTCTACTTAAAATAATAAAAGGAAAAATCTTCTTTAAATACAAAATTTTAGTTAATTTAACTGAAAAAGACTTCTCTACTTCTTCTCCTTCAATAACAACACCAAAAATTTTAATTGAAGATTTTGGAAGGCCTAATATACGTGATGAATTAGATAATGGATTTGAAAGGGTTACAATGCATTTAGTTGATATTCCTTCGACTACAACTGAATTAGTAAATAATGGGTCTATAATTGTTGAAGAAGAAAGGGTTGGTAGTGGAAATTTGTCTTTTTGGGGATTCTATTTGTGAATTTTGAAAGTCAAAAAGGATTTTTTTATTAGAGATTAAAAGTTTTTGAGAACAAAACCTTCTCCCCTAAAGGGTTGAGAAAACTAAAATATAAATTAGAGACTGGTTTGGGTGATTATTCAAAAATTTGAAAAATAAATAAAAATTGGGATGGGTTTAAATAATAAATTTTTAATTAATTTTAAAGCCTTCACAACACCACCAACAAACAACAACACAAAATATATTAACATTTAATGGAATACCTTTTAATCTTCCCTCAACAAAACCACCCCCACCATCTAAAACAATAGAACAATTAAATACAAATTTATTTACAACAACTACAACAATTATTCCCTCAAATGTAAATATTTTCAATTTTTCTTCCAAAAATTATTTTATTTTTAGACTTTAAATTCCCCACCCCCACCACAATCTTCTAATGATAAAAATGAAGTATTAATAGAACAACAACATTCCCATATAGAATTTCCTCAAATAAATAATAATTTGGGTGAAGGAGATGATTTAATAAATAATCAGGGAAATGAAAAAGATAAAAATGAAAATTCAAAAATAAATGGAGATATTGAAAGAGAAATGGAAAATAAAGAAAATTTTGTTCAAGAAGAAAATTTAAATAAAAATGGGGTAAGAATAAATTATTGGGGGCGTCAAATTGTGGCGGCGCCGAAATGTTCAAATAAAGCCTAAACCTTTTGAAGCCTAAACCTTTTGGATTAAAAAGACATTTCGGCGTCAACAAAAATTAGGCGCCAAAGTTATTTACTCATTTATCAATTTTAAAGTGACAAACTTTGTTAACAGATCTTACAGTATTCGAGGCTAAGGATATAAGAATTATTTCTTAATAGATTAATCTTACCAGAGAAAAAAATTTTACAGGAAAAGTATTGGCGCCAAATTCGCAGCGCCTAAGTGTCTTCGACAGTTTCCCTTATAAAACCTATACCTTTTGACTTCAATTTTTAGTCAAAAACTTGAAGCCAAAAGGTTTAGGTTTTATGGGGAGAACTTAAATGGACAATTCGGCGCAAGATTATTTGGCGTTACTATGAATTTTTTTGGGAAAATTTTTAAATTTTTGAAAAAGTTTTTTATTCGAGCTCGTTAATTTTTAAACATTTTTTCTAAATAGTCACGGTTTAGTCACATCATTATATCTGTCAAATGAGCTGTTATTTATTTGCATATTCGAATTTTTCACCCCCAAAATCGAGCTTACTCCCCCCATGGTTTTTCAATTTTTCGGTACTTATAACTCGGTCCAGAATCATTCCCTAAACTAGGGAGTGGTACCATTCGACTCAGCTCGTCGAGACAAATCGGATGAAATATGTCACGTCCCGAACTTTTACTACCGGCACACTACACCAAAGCCAAAATTTCTCAATTTGCCAACTTTATTTTTTAATTCCTTTCTAGGATATTGGAGAGTCAATGAAAAGAACATCAAAATTCTCAACTTCAACAAATTCATCAGATAATCTTAGAATATTTGTTTTGTTGGGAATTATTACAAGTAATTAAAATAAAAATAATTTTAAAAGAAAAATACTTCTTTTAAAGTTTTGCTTGTCACAATTGCACTTGCAAGCATTTTTTCTGCTCGTTATGTAAAGAGAAGTAGACAATTACATGGGAAATATCAAGTAGTTTTTAAATAAATTTTAATTTAAAAATTTTTGGAAATATTATTTGAATGTTTATATTATTTTCTATTCAATTTAGCCAGCTGCATACGAAATGCAAACACAACAACAACAACAAAATCGTTATCAACCAACAGATTTTGTAAATACACAAATATATAGACAACCCCCTATTAACAACAATTTTAGTTCCCCTCCATCTAATTCTCCTTCAATACAACAACAAATAACTGCTACTTTTGGAAAAGAAGAAAGGCTTATTTAAATTATTTTTAATTTTAATTAAATTAAAATGATTCGAAATTGTCTCTCTCTTTTGTTAGAAAGAGAGAAAAGTGATTGTTTATTTAAACCCCGTGTTGCTTCCATTTTACTTACAAGCATTTTCACTTTTTTATTTTAAAAATAATTCTAATATACAGCAGATATTAAATACTCAATTTTACAAAATACTCACAAAATTAGGGCTAGTCAAAACATGCAAATACAGGATGCAAGTATGTCTTAAATAAGGAAATTAAAAAAACATTTTTGTTGGTTCAGGACTAAAATATTTATGTAAAATTGCATTGTATATTTTGGTCGGCCCTAATTATATCAATCGGGCATTTACATTAACATCTCACTTTATCTGTTAAATTTTTGTGGTACTGATCATGATATTAACCAATAAAATATTACAACTAGATTACCAATTTTAAATACCTTTTTATGGCTATAATCATTGTTGGGTATCCAAGAGATACTAAATTTGGAGCTGACCTAGGATTTAGCTCCAATTGGAGCAATAGCCCTGATTTGGAAGGGGTTTGAACAGACACACATACACAAAACATAAAAAACCCAGCGCTGTTATAACTCGAATGTCATAATTTCTTAGAAGTGATGTAATCGTAACTCACAAAAATTCTATTATGTAGATTGATCCCACGATAAAGCGAGAATTATTAATATTTTTTGTTAATTTTACTTGTATTTTTCATCATCTCTCGATTTTTTGTTAAATATTTTTTGTTCAAACAATTAAATGGAATAAAAAATAATTTTAAATTTAGCATTTTTGTTTATTTTAGAAGAGTTTTATCAATTATAACACTCCTAAGGTTACAAGTAATTGATTGGTACACATTTGAAACTTACGGCTGCAAAAAAACTTTTTTGCGTCCAGCCTGGCCTCAGGAAAGAAACTTGTAGGAAAAAAATGTCAGATGTACCAGTGAGTGTATTCAGATATTAAAAACAATTTTTATAACAAACAACAAAAAATAATTTAAATAATTTCAGAATCTTCAGTAATCGATTTAACAGAACGTTTTTCAACAAATTTAATTTTAAGTTTATTTTTGATGTTTGTTGTTTTGTTTGCACCTCCAATTGATAAAATATTCCTTTGTTGAAGACTTTTTACTCTTTCTAAAAATTAAAAAGAATTATTTTTCCAATAAAAAAATTAAAAAAAAAAACAATTCCTAATCTGACTAACTTCAATTAAAATTTTAATTAAATCCAATAAAAATTATTTTTAAATTTGGAGAATTTAAATTAAAGTTCAGAAAGAAATCAAAATTTTCTTTTTCCAATCCCTCCAATTTTCCCAAAATAATTTAAATTACCAACCTTGAATTAAAGAATTGCTAGCACTTGTTAAACATCTCAGAGAGGCAGGTAATTCTTTTGGAGTAATTACTGGCTCTTCATAAGGCTCGAATTTCCCTCTTCCCAGTTTCTTTCTCGTTGTTAAATTTTTAATTTTCCATTGTTTATTTTTTAATTTAATTTTATTTAAATGTTGAGCATGTTCAGAATTGACATTTTTAGTTAAGGATTTTAAACTAAAAAAATTTATAAAAATTTTTGAATTTAAATGAGAACCTTTGTAATTGTTGTTTTTGTATTTTCTTTTGATTATCGACAACTTTTGTTGTTGAATTTTTAATTTGTTTTAAATTTTTCTTTTTCTTTAAACGAAGGCAAGTTCTTAATTTTTCGTTGTCTTTTTCTTCTATTTTAATTTCTGAAATTTTTTTTGAATTTTATAAAAAAAATCTAAGCTTAGATTCGGACTCCGCACTCGATTACCTCTCAAAAAATGTCAAAAGAGCACTTTCTGCTCGTTTTTTTTCTAGGGACCTGTAAACCCGACATTTACCAAAAATTAAAAAAAAATGCGACAAAGTTCAAATATAAAACCTTTATTTTCAACAGGCTCCTCTACCTCAGTTTTAACTTCTCCAATAGACAAAGGTCCATCAATAGTAAATTTCAAATCTTCTTTCAATCCCTACAATTCAAATAAATCATTTAAACAAAAAATATTTTAAAAACCCCAAAATTAAAAAATTCATCATCATTTGGCCTAATTTTCTTTTCCACACGTTCCTCTTCAGCAGAAATTTTTTCCTCTTCTTTTACAACTTTACCAAGAAAATCCTTTAAATAATTAATTTAAAATTCGTTAATAAGTTAAATATTTCTTGATTTATTTTTCCTTTAAAATTTCTTTTTCGACTAGAAACAAAAAATGAGGATTAATCGAGTTGAGATTGATATACCGAAAAACCTTGATACACGATTTCCCATATGAGTTGAATTTTCGATTTAATTGCAATAGATTAATACCAAAAACGACTATACATTTTATTAAGCAGGAATCAAAGGAGACAAAATGCAAAACCTTTAACCCCCTAAATCAAAAACTAAAGACAAATTCCCGTGAAAAAATTCTCATTTTAATATTCACTTTTATTAGTTCCTCTATTTACTTTTCGATTGTAAAATTAATGTAAAAAATACCAAATAGCTCCCCAATGGAGGATTATAAGAAATTCCTTCATCTGGAAGTGTCACGGGTGGAAGAATACTTGGAATATAACGAGTTGATTTAATCCGTTTGTTTTGCAAATTGTTGTCTTCACATTCCCAAAGGTCATACAAACGAGAATTGCCTTTTTGTTTTTCCATTAAGTTGGGGTTTTTAAGTATAAAAAATGTTAAATTAAAAATGACTGAAAAACTTAAAATAACATTCAAATATAGACTATGGCATAGCAAAACAATTTTAAAAATTAAAAAATATTTACATAGTAAAGTATTTATCAAATTAAAAAAAATAATTTAAACAAAAAAATCAAATAAACAAATTGTCTAACAAGAAAATCCTTAGATAGACCAGAGTAATCATCATCTGTAAAAATAATCCTAGGTACTAAAAACAAAGAAAAAAATTTACAATCCACATAATTTTTCAGAAAGTATTTCAACAAAACATTCGTGTTGTCTTCCAACAGAATCAACAATTTCTATATTACGTGCATAATAGGCTGGATACTCATCATTTGCCAATAAATCATCGATTTCTATTTCAAAAGGTTTCCCCAAATTAAAAAATTTGTTGTCAGTATCGATATTCTAAAAATAAAATATTCTTTTCAAATACATATCTAATTGTAAAACTAACATCAAACATATAGTCATCAAATATTGACGCAAATTCTACTTCGATTTTCAAATTTTTCCTACCAGTTTTTAAATTTTTGAGATGCTCAATAAATAAAATAATAACGGATTCGAGATTTAAGAGAAATTTTTTGGGTGAAACTGCGTTAAGACATTCAAAATCAAATTCAATAAATTCTAAATTTGGGCAGCAAATTAGTAAAAATTGTATATAATTCATTAAATTGTTGACAAAATTGGTAGAAGAGTTTGAGTTAATTTCAATATTACACCTATTTATAATTTTCTTTGATCGTTCCATAGGAACTGAAGGTCTATAAATAAAATTTATTAAAAATTCATAAAGACAATCTATAACAGTTTTGGAAGATATAACACAATTATAAAAATTTAAAAAACACATGTAGTACTACCCAAGATATGTGAATAAATATCGAATAGCCTAATCAAAGTGGAAGTCCCGAAAAATCCCATCTTTCATTAAAGTTAAAGGAAAAATGAAACAATTACCTTTCGAGTAAAATAAGTTCAAAACATTTAGGATCGCAATCAAACATATTTCCACAAATGCAGCGAAACTCCAAATTCTCAATATTCATTGAAAGTGATGTAATTAAATGTTTTTCTTAAAAGCTTTATTATTTTTAAAATTTTATAAAAAATAAACTGATAGTTTCTGCTGATTCATTAATAATAATGTTAGAGACATTTAAACTCGAAGATATTGATGAAGAAGAATCAGATAAATCTTCTAAAAAATATTTAAAAAAATATATTAACAATCAAACCTTCAAGACTAACCAAATATTTGTAAATATTTTTATTTGTTGCAGAAAAATCAATTTTTGATAATTTCCCAAGAATATAATTTATATGAAAATACGAAATGTTTAATAAACCAGCTTCAAGAAGATCCGAAAACAAGTTCTTGCTGATATCGTAAAACTAAAAATGTTTATTAAATTGATCTATGTTCAAAAAATGTTAATCAAGTGATCGAGATTTTAGGCCGTTGTGAGTAATCAATTAGAATGTGACCTATTTAATTGTAATTTATAAATTACTCATTGTCAGAAAGGAAAATGATAAAATAAACATACATTCGAAGGTTTACCAACTCGGCCAAAACTAACAAATATATTTTCACTATCATCATTGCCACAAGTTGAAAGATCAAGTCGCTTCATTTTAGAAAAATGAGAAAGAACCGCTCTCATATTTCTTGCACTGTGATACTAAAATTTTAAATTAAAGTTATTTTAAAAAATTAAAAACCATAAAAAGCGTATAACTATTTGTAATTCGCAAATCAACTTGACGACGAAATTTTTTAAAAAGTAATTTTTCAGAAATAATATAGAGAACATCATCAGATAAACGTGGTATTTGAGCCATCTATAAAAAATTTCTAAAGAAATAATTGGAAATAAAAGAATATAAATCGAGATTATTTGAATATAAAACAATTTGTAAGAATGAAATATTTAAATATAGTAAAGCATTTATCAATTTAAAAATAATTTAAACAAAGTAAAAAATCATCTCAATAAATTAAATGAAAAAATCCTGAAATAAAAAATAAGTACCAGCACCGTAACTTTCTTGTAAATGATCAATACTAGCAAAAGTAGTCGTAATAAAAAACAATTCAATCAAAATAGGCCGAATAATCGTCAGAATCAGATCCTCCTTCATGGAAAAAATCATCAGAATCAGCTGAAAGACATTAAAAGATTTGGAAAGTAGAGAATGTTTTCGAAAATTAGATTCTAACTAATCTAACAACAATTTCTTATTAATTTTAAGATCAACTGACTACTTTTCAAAACTGATTACTCAAAAAATATTAAAAAAAGGAAAACGTACATTCAATATAGGCTGGTATTACAGAAAATATTTTAAATAAACATTTATGTTGTCTTCCAATGGAATCAACAATTTCTATATCACGTGCATAATGTTCTGGAGACTCATCAAGATAATTGGCATTCGTTGTATCAACAAGCAAATCTTTTTCGATATGTGTTCCCAAATTATTTTTAGGAATAAGCTAAAAACAAAAAAAAATATTTTAAAAAATATTTAAAACTAACATCAAAAGTATTTGTATCAAATGTTGAATAAAATTCTATTTTAATTTTCAAATCTTTACCACCCTTTTCTAGATTTTTGAGAAAATCAATAATTGAAGTAAAAAATAATTCAAGATTTGTAACAAACTCTTCAGGTGAAAGTGAAGGAACAGAGCCACCAGAAATTAATTTGTAAAAGCCTGAGGAGATACAAAAATTGGTTTTCAACTTCGAATCAAAAGTAAAATCAAATTCAATAGATTGTAAACTTGGACAGCAAAAAAGTAAAAATTGTATATAATTCATTAAATTGTCGAGAAAATTAGTTGTAGACTTAAGTTCAATCTTACATTTGGTCGTAATTTTCTTTGTGCAATTCATAGAAATTGAAGGTCTATAAATAAATAAAATTTTGATTAAAGTATTTACAAAAAATACGTTTTTAAAAACTAAGAAATATTTGAGCAAAAAAAATTAAAAATACCTATGTCAATATAAAACTTTTTTACGAACATTCTCATAAAATAATAGCTTAAACTTTTCATTTGCGATGTTTTTAGACCAGAAACCCCGTATATTGGATAATCATACATACAGTGGCGGAAATTTACTTAAGACCGATTGAATTTTTTTCTTTAACCTTACTTTTCTCTCCAGCTTTATAGAAATATGAAATAGTCTTTTGGGTATTGAATAGCTCTGATTTCAACCTACCTTTTCTGTAAATTTCTTTAATGTATTACAATTACAACCCAAAAATTTTTAGCAAAAACTTGAAAGTGTGCGCGAAATTTACTTAAGATCGATATACAATCTTCAAATTTTCTGACTAAAATCACTTAGATGTCGCCATCCCTTTTTTTTAATAATACCTAGGCAACGTCGCTTCCTAAAATTAACTAAATGAATACTCGCTCATTTGTTATATTTAACCAAGCTTCATCTGACCCACATGAAAAGCTGATCTTGGTTTTTGGTGGGTTTTTGACTTAATCTGCTCGTCGACACAAATCCAGAGCATCTCAATTAGATCTAGATTTGTACTTTGGGGTGGCCACTTTATGATTGTCCAACATTTTTCTTCGAAAAAATTTCCTGACTTCCTGGAAGTGTGAAAAAAATTACCCTAAGCATTCACCATTCCGACAATTACACTAGGCTTTCAACTCTCCTAAGAAATTTTTTTGAAGTCTGTAAAAAATATATGTGATTCTCCTCCAGATCATCATCCAATAAGGTTGGCGGATAGTTGGAAATCTTCGGATATCCGGATCCGGTATCCGATCCGAAAATTTCGGATATCCGGATCCGGTATCCGAACCGAAATTTTCGGATATCCGGATCCGGAACCGAAATTTTTATTTTAAAAATTTTCGCCTGCGGCGCTGAAAAGTTGAGTCTTATGGAGGATATAAAGGGATTAGGAGCAATTATGATTGGATTTGGGGATTAACAGTGTTATCGAAGGAATTTATGCTTAACAGAGTTATCTAGCTTAATCAATGTGTGGAAAATTTTGTAGTTTATCTGATGATTTGTGAGAATTTAGTGGATTTGGAGGAAGTAGTAGATACATCAACTATTTTCATATTTTTGAATTTGGTAAATTGATAGCTGGGATCGTGGGATTATGAGAATGCTGATAAATTTTGAGGTAAATCCTCCTTATACAAACCTCTTTTCTTCCTATTCAAGCGCCGCAGGCGAAAATTTTGAGAAACTTGGAGGTCCTTAAGTCAGATTTCTTCCACTGACAGCGCCGCAGGCGAAAATTTTGGTAATTTTGGAAGCCTGGGCTACCAGATTTGTTCATTATCCAGCGCCGCAGGCGAAAATTTTGAGAACTTTGGAAGGCCATTGGGCAAGATTTCTTCCTTTTTCCCCAATTCTAGGATCCGAACCGAAATTTCCGGATATCCGGATCCGATATCCGAACCGAAAATTTCGGATATCCGGATCCGGTATCCGAACCGAAAATTTCCGGATATCCGGCCTTTTTTCGGATCCGGATATCCGGATCCGCCAACCTTATCATCCAAATCGGTCGAGACATCATCCAAATCGGTCGAGAATCTACCGAGTTATGAATTTTTGAAAATTGAAAAAACGCGATTTTTTGCCATTTTTCGTCAAAAAATCGCATTTTTGCGATTTTCAAAAATTCATAACTCGGTAGAATCTCGACCGATTTGGATGATTTTTTTGTATTGTATGTAGAATCTGGAGGAGAATCACATATATTTTTTACAGACTTCAAAAAAATTTCTCCGAAAAGTTGAAAAAGTAGTACCTGTTAGACCGGCCGAAAAGTTGTCGAAAATATCAGAATTTCGAAAAACGCTGAAACATGACAACTGAGTCGGAAATCAAGTTATTTTTTAAAATTAAGATCTGCCAGATCGGATAAAAATGAAAGGAATTACATAAAAATATATACCGGTCTTACGTAAATTGCCGCCACTGTATGCTAGATAATAATATTACGTAAAGTACCTTTCAAGTAAAACAAATTCAAAAATTTTTGCGTCACATTCAAACATATTTGCATTATCAAAGCAAAAAAACTCCAAATTCTCAATATTCATTGAAAGTAATGTAATTAAATGTTTTTCTTAAAAAAGTTATAATTTTTTAAAAATTCATGATAAAATAAACTAATAGTTTCTGCTGGTTCATTAATAATAATTTTAGAGATATTCAGACTCGGAGACATTCGTGAATCGGATAAACCTTCTTAAAATTAAAAAATAAACATTAGGGTTTCACCAGAACCGAAATTTTGACCGGAACCAGAACTTTTAAAAAAATTTGCTAGCAAATTTTAAAAAATTTTTATTTTAAGTAGGGTTGTTAAGTAGGTTGTTTAGCCAAATTCTTCGGTTAACCAAACCCGAGCCGATTAACCGGACCGAAACTTTCGGTTAACCGAAACCGAACTGAAAATTTGTCGGCTGTTAAGTGCTATATGTGGATTAGAGAGTGGAGTATAACGGATTTGTCGGGTATAATTGTTTGATATTAGGCGATAAAAAGTTTTGTGGAAATAAAGAAGGATCCATAGACATCAAATCCCTGATATTTACAGAAGATATCAAATCCCTAATATCTACATAAAAATCTTAAAATCTTATGATTTTTTGGAGCCCATCTAGTTTTAAATTTAAAGCGTTGTATGCGATAAATTTTTATAATAATTTGTATTTTGGAAGAGAAGCCAAATTTATTCTTTTTTTTTCAGCGCCGCAGGCGAAAATTTTGAAAATTTCAGATGGCCATAAGCAAAAAATTTGTAAACCGGTGCCGGATCCAATTTGAATTCCGGTTCCCGGAACTAAAAAAACACCGGAACTTTCCGGAACCGAAACATCCGGTGAAACCCTAATAAACATATTCATAATCAAACCTTCATGATTAACCAAATATTTGTAAATATTTTTATTTGTTGTAGAAAAATCAATTTTGGATAATTTCCCAAGAATTTTATTTATTTGAACAGATGAAATGCGCAATAAACCAGCATCAATAAGACCAGAAAACAGATTTTTGCTAACAATGTATGGACCGGTAAACTAAAATGTTTATTAAATTAATCAATGTTAACCAAAGATGATAAAAATTTTAGGACGTTAGAATACGATCTTTTAAAATTTGTACTTTGAAACATGACAAAAGGAAAAATAACTAAATATACAATTGGAAGTTTATCATTGTAGAAACAAATAATACACTCATTGCAATAAGTTGAAAGCTCAAGTTCCTTCATTTTTGAAAAATGAGACAGCAAAGCTCTCATATTTCTTGCACTGTGATACTAAAATTTAAATTAATATATTTTAATTTAAAATTAAAAACCATAAAAAGAGTACAGCTATTTGTAGTGCGCAAATCAACTAGACCACAAAATTTTTTAAAAAGTAATTTTTCAGAAATAATATAGAGAACATCCTCCGATAAACGTGGTATTTGCTCCATCTGTTAAAATTTTCTAAAGAAATAATTGTAAATAAAAGAATATAAATCGAGATTATTTGAATATAAAACAATTTGTAAGAATGAAATATTTAAATATAGTAAAGCATTTATCAATTTAAAAATAATTTAAACAAAGTAAAAAATCATCTCAATAAATTAAATAAAAAAATCCTGAAATAAAAAAAAAGTACCAGCACCGTAACTTTCTTGTAAATGATCAATACTAGCAAAAGTAGTCGTAATAAAAAACAATTCAATCAAAATAGGCCGAACAATCGTCAGAATCAGATCCTCCTTCATGGAAATAATCATCAAATTCACCATTATAAGCTGAAAAAAATTAAAGATTTGGAAAGTAGAGAATGTCTTCAAAAATTAGATTTTGTCTGACAACAAACGATTTTTCTTAATTTTAAAGATCAACTGACTACTTTTAAAAACTGATTACTCCGAGAATATTAATAAAAAAGAAAACGTACACATTAAAGAAAATATTTTAAATAAACATTTATGTTGTCTTCCAACGGAATCAACAATTTCTATTTCACGTGCATAATATTCTGAAGACTTATTAAGATAATTGACATTCGTTGTATCAACAAGCAAATTTTTTTCGATATGTTTTCCCAAAGAAAAAAGTTTATTATTAGTAGGAATAAACTAAAAACAAAAAATATATTTTAAAAAATATTTAAAACTAACATCAAAAATAAAGTCAAAAAATGTTGAATAAAATTCTATTTTAATTTTCAAATCTTTACCACCAATTTCTAGTTTTTTGAGATAATCAATAATTGAAGTAAAAAATAATTCCAGATTTGTAACAAACTCTTCAAGTGAAATTAATTGGTAAGAGCGTGATTGAGAGCAGATAAAGTCCGAATCAAAAGTAAGATAAAAGTCAATGGAGTCTAAATTTGGACAGCAAAGAAGTAAAAACTGAATATAATTCATTAAATTGTTGAGTAAATTGGTTGTAGAGTTAAATTCAATAGAACATTTAGTTTTGATTTTCTTTGTGCACTTCATAGAAATTGATGGTCTATAAATAAAAATTGAAAAATCGGTAAAAATTTAGATTAAATTTAAAAAAAGTTTTTAAAAATTAATGTAAGACACAATTGAGTGAAATAGAATCAAAAATATACTTATGTCAATATGAAATTTTTTTACAAATCTATTCATATTAGCAAACTTTTCAGACTTGCCAGAAATACCGCTATACTGGAAAACCATAAGCATAACTCTAATGAAACAACATTGTAAACATAAAAATAGTACCTTTCGAGTAAAACAAGTTCAAAAGCTTTCGGGTCGCAATCAAACATAGTATTTTTAATATCAGAGCAAATAATCTCCATAGTCTCAATATTCATTGAAAGTAATGTAATTAAGTGTTTTTCTTAAAAAATTTATAATTTTTAAAAAATTTATGAAAAAATAAACTGATAGTTTCTGCTTTCTCATTAATAATAATTTTAGAGATACTCAAACTCGAAGATATTGAGGAATCGGATAAACTTTCTTAAAAATAATTTTAAAAAATAAATATATTACCAATCAAACCTGCAAGACTAAGTAAATTTTTCCAGATATTTTTATTTGTTACAGAAAAATCAATTTTTGATAATTTCCCAAGAATATTATTTATTTGAATAGATGAAATGTGCAATAAACCAGCTTCAAGAAGACCAGATAACATGTTTTTGGTAACAAGGTATGGGAAGATAAACTAGAAATGTTTATTAAATTAATCAATGTTGGTCAAAAATGATTAAAATTTTAAGCCATTGATGCTGATCAATTAGAATATATTCTTTTAAGATTAGTAATCTAAACATGAACGGAAAATAACTAAATTACATTTGGAATTTCCTCTTTGTAAAAACCAATAAAACAATCATTGTCCCAAGTTAAAAAATGAAGTCGCTTCATTTTAGAAAAATGAGAAAGCAAAGCCCTCATATTTCTTGCACTGTGATACTAAAATTTTGAATAAAAATATTTTAATTTAAAATTAAAAACCATAAAAAGAGTATAACAATTTGTAGTGCGCAAATCAACTCGCTGACGAAATTTTTCAAAAAGTAATTTTTCAGAAATAATATAGAGAACATCCTCCGATAAACGTGGTATTTGCTCCATCTGTTAAAATTTAAAAGAAAGAAGTAGATATAAAAGAATATAAATTGAGATTATTTGAATATAAAACAATTTGTAAGAATAAAATATTTAAAAAGTAAAGCATTTATCTGTTTAAAAATAATTTAAACAAAAGAATCATCTCAATAAATTAAATGAAAAAATTTTGAATAAATACTCAACACTGATAAAAATCATATGGATCAAGAGAATATGCGTCAATATATGCATTTGCGTCAAAACCATGTCCTCCATTGAAAAAATCATCATTAATATAGTCTAAAGCTCAGTAAAATAAAATTAAAATTTAAAAAGCAGAATATTTTCGAAAATTAGATTCTTATCTTAATACAATATTTTGCGAAATTTTAAAAAATTGACTACTTTTAAAGACTGATCACTCCGAAAAATTTAATAAAAGTTTGACTAATTGCTAACGAAAAGTAACGAAAAAAAACTTACATCCCAAATAATCCAACGGTCCTTCAGAAATTATTTGAACAAAACATTGATGTTGTCTTCCAATAGAATCAACAACTTCTATATCACGTCCAATAAATGCTGGAACCTCCTCCTCTTGATGATTACCGTTTTCTCGATCAATAACCAAACTTTTAATTTCCATATGTTTTCCCATAGAAAAAAGTTTATTATTTTTAGGAATAAGCTAAAAAAGAAAATATATTTTAAAAAATATTTAAAACTAACCACATAATGATTAGCAGCAAACTTTGAACAAAATTCTACAGCGATTTTCAAATTTTTACCACCATTTTTTAGATTTTTGAGATAATCAATAATTGAAGAAAAAAATAATTCCAGATTTGTAACATACTCTTCAGGTGAAATTTCATAAAAAGAGTCACCAGAAATCGATTCGGAAGAGTCTGAGTCACTAAAAAAATCGGTTTTTAAGTCCAAATCAAAAGCAAGATCAAAATAAATAGATTCTAAATTTGGGCAGCAAAGAAGTAAAAATTGTATATAATTCATCAAATTCTTGAGCAATCTGGTTGTGGATTTTGAGTCAATCTCAATACTGCATTTAGTTTTAATGTTCTTTGTTCGCTCCATAGGAATTAAAGGTCTAGAATAAAATTTAAGAAATTGGTAAAAAATTTATCTAAACAAATATAAAAATAACAAAGCTTAAAACCTTTAAATCTTATAATTAGCAACACTCTGATGTAAGTAGGTCGATAAAATAACCTAATAGAACTATCTTAAATAAATTACCTTTCGAGTAAAACAAGTTCAAAAGTTTTTGGATCAGAATCGAATACACATCTATAATCAGAGCCGATAAAATACAAATCCTCAATATTCATTGATAGTAATGTAATTAAATGTTTTCCTTAAAAATTCTTTTTATTTTTTAAAATTATATAAAAAATTGACTCATAGTTTCTGCAGGTTCATTAATAACAATATTAGAGATATTCAAACTTGGAGATACTGATGAGCCCAAATCAGATAAACCTTCTTAAAAAGTTTTTAAAAATAAATATATTAACAATTAAACCTTCAAGATTCACCAAATATTTGTAAATATTTTTATTTGCTGCAGAAAAATCGACTTTAGATAATTGCCCGAGTATACTCGTTATTTTAATATGTGAAATGCGCAATAAACCAGCTTCAAGGAGATCAGAAAATATCTTTTTGTTAACAAAATATGGTGATGAAGGATATTTGGACTAAAATGTTTATTAAATTATTTGGTTTTAATCTCAAAATTTATCTTTCCTTTCTTTTTTTATAACAGGAGAAAAAGAATTCCTTGTGACTGATACCTAATCAAGTGGAAATTAACAGGGAATTAGGACTGGACCATTTATGTTCTCACAGAGTTGGCTATAAATAATTTGAATACATGTCGACTATGTATTTAAACAAGGGCCGTGCCGTGACCCAACAGAAAAATGGGACCTTTAAAATTTTGAAACTACAATTGATCAGGAAGGGAAAGAAAAAAATTATTTAAATACACTCACTATACGTTTTGTTAGTGGAATTTCTTCTTTGTAAAATTTAATAAGACAATCATTGTCAGAAACAGAAAGATCTAGATGCTTCATTTTAGAAAAATGAGAAAGCAAAGCTCTCATATTCCTTAAACTGTGAAACTAAAATTTTAAATAAAAATATTATTTAAAAAAAATTAAAAACCATAAAAAGAGTATAACCATTTGTCGTTCGCAAATCAATCTGACCACATAATTTTTTAAAAAGTAATTTTTCAGAAATAATATAGAGAACATCCTCCGATAAACGTGGTATTTGCTCCATCTGTTAAAATTTCCTAAAGAAATAATTGGAAAAGAATATAAATCGAGATTATTTGAATATAAAACAATTTGTAAGAATGAAATATTTAAATATAGTAAAGCCTTTATCAATTTAAAAATAATTTAAACAAAGTAAAAAATCATCTCAATAAATTAAATGAAAAAATCTTGAATACTCAACACATATAAATATTGTGTGGATCAAGAGAATATGCGTCAATATATGCATATTCGTCAAAACCATATCCTCCATTGAAATAATTATCATAATCATCATTAATATAATCTAAAAGACAGTAAAATGAAATCAAACGATTTAAAAGACAGAAAATTTTTCGAAAATTAGCTTCGTATCTTAAAACGATTTTGTCCGTAATTGAAAGATTAATTGACTCGTTTTAACGACTGATATCCCCAAAAAATTTAATAAAAGTATTGACCACGGGTAACAAACAAAGGAGATAAAAAACTTACAATCCTCCTCCTGTTTTTCAGAAAGTATTTTAACAAAACATTCATGTTGTCTTCCAATAGAATCAACAACTTCAATGTTACGTCCAATAAATTGTGGAGTCGCGCAAGAATAAATGCCTCGTGTCGGATGAATATTTTTGATTTCGATACGTTTTCCCATATAAAAAAGTTTATTATCCGTAGGAATAAGCTAGAAAGAAAAAATATATTTAAAAAATATTTAAAACTAACATCAAAAGTATCAGCAGGAAATGTTGAATAAAATTCTATTTTAATTTTCAAATTTTTACCACCCTTTTCTAGATTTTTGAGAAAATCAATAATTGCAGTGAAAAATAATTCAAGATTTGTAACATATTCTTCTGGTGAAATTGAAGGAACAAAGCCTTCAAAAATAGATTCGTAAGAGCACGAGTAGCTATAAAAATCGGTTTTCAACTTCGAATTAAAAAGAAATTCAATAGATTCTAAATTTGGGCAACAGAGAAGTAAAAAGTGAATATAATTCATTAAATTGTTGAGAAAATTGGTTTTAGAGTTGAGTTCAATAGTACATTTGGTTGTAATTTTCTTTGTGCGATTTATAGAAATTGAAGGTCTATAACTAAAAGTTGAAAAATTAAAACAATTTGATTAAAGTTTTTATAAAAAATACGTTTTTAAAAACTAAGAGACATTTAGGCATAAAGAAAAATTAAGAATATCAATGTCAATATGAAATTTTTTTACAAACATTTTCATAAAATAATAGCTTAAAAACTTCAATACTTTTAGGCCAGAAACCCCGTTATATTAAATAATAATACATTTGCTTTGTTTACTTACACAATCATACGTAAATTACCTTTCGAGTAAAACACGTGTAAAAGTTTTTGCGTCACATTCAAACATATTTTCATTATTAGCACAACAAATCTCCAAATTCTGAATATTCATTGAAAGTAATGTAATTAAATGTTTTTCTTAAAAGCTTTATTATTTTTAAAATTTTATAGAAAAATAAACTGATAGTTTCTGTAGATTCAATAATATAAATTCTGGAGATACTTGAACCCGAAGATGTTGATGAAGAAGGATCAGATAAACCTTCTTAAAAATAATTAAAAAATATAGGTAATAGTTAAGTTTGTGTTACCCCTTTTTTCTTCGTCTGAATGTAATGTACCGGAGGTAAAAGTTCGGGACGTGACATATGTCATTCGATTCGTCTCGACGAGCTGAGTTGATGGTATCGCTCCCAATTCATTAAATGATTCTGGACCGAGTTATATTATACCAGAATCGACCTTACTCCCCCTATGGTTTTTCATTATTTCGAGACCTATAACTCGGTCGAGAATCATTTCCTGAAACTGGGAGTGGTACCATCAACTCAGCCCGAACTTTCACCTCCGGTATGCTGCACTTCAGCCGGAAGGAAAAATGGGGTAACTCAACTTAACTATTATATTCGCAATCAAACCTTCAAGATTAACCAAATATTTGTAGATATTTTTATTTGTAGCAGAAAAATCAATTTTAGATAATTTCCCAAGAATTTTATTTATTTGAATAGATGAGATGTGCAATAAACCAGCTTCAAGAAGACCAGAAAATATCATTTTGTTAACAGAAATTGATGATTCAAGAATGTGAGACTAAAAATATTTATTAAACTTATCGGTACTTTATTAATATCCCGCCCCCCCCCCCAACCCCTATTTAAGTCTCAAATTAATCTTCCTTTTCTTTACTGTCAATAATTTTTTCCTTCAAATTTTACAGGTAAAAGGCAAGTATTAGGAAGGAAAATATAGACGGCAATGCAAAAATGGGCCGAAAGGCAAAATTTAACAATGGAAATTTGGCCATTCCGAGGTAGAAAAAATAGAAAGTAAAATTAATCTGAGACTCAAATAGGGGTGGGGGCGGAATATTAATAAAGTACCCAGGAGAGGATTTCCATGTGATTGATAATGAACTATTAATTCTGATTGAGTCCAAAATGAGAGAGTGGGAAGGAGGTATATACATATGCCAATTAATAGATGGTCAAAAAATGTTAATCAAGATGATTACAAAGCTGGCAATAATTTAATTAAATTTTTAAATTATTTCCAGAAAGGAAAATAAAAACAACACACTCACAATACAGTCAGGTATTACGTCTTTGTAAAATTTAATAAAACAATCATTGTTACAAATTGAAAGATCAAGATGCTTCATTTTAGAAAATTGAAAAAGCAAAGCTCTCATATTTTTTACACTGTGAAACTAAAATTTTAAATAAAAATATTATTTAAAAAAATTTAAACCATAAAAAGAGCATAAGGACTTGCAATTCTACTTCGCAGATCAATATCCCCACAACGATTTTTAAAAAGTAATTTTTCAGAAATAATATAGAGAAGATCATCGGATAAACGTGGTATTTGAGCCATCTGTTAAAATTTTCTAAAAAAATAATTGAAAATAAAAGAATAAATTGAGATTATTTGAATATAAAACAATTTGTAAGAATAAAATATTTAAAGAGTAAAGCATTTAGCAAATTTTAAAAAAATATTTAAAGTAAAGAATCATCTCAATAAATTAAATGAAAAAATCTTGAATAAATACTCAACACTGATAAAAATCATGTGGATCAAGAGAATTTGCTTCAATATAATATGCATGTTCGTTAAAAATATTTCCCGTATTATATCCATTATCATAATCATCATATACATCTAAAAGGCAGTAAAATAAAATTAAAGGATTTAAAAGACAGAGAATTTTCCGAAAATTAGCTTCTTATCTTTAAACGATTTTCTGTAGTTTAAAGAATTAATTGACTCGTTTTAACGACTGATATCCCAAAAAATTTAATAAAAGTATTGACGAGTAACAAAAAAGTAAATAAAAAAACTTAAAATTCTCCTCAAATCCTTCAATTTTAACCAAACATTCATGTTGTCTTCCAATAGAATCAACAACTTCAATGTTACGTCCAATAAATGCTGTAGGCGCCACATAATAAATGCCGTCTGGTGGATTTTCGAGTTCCATATGTTTTCCCAAAGAGAAAAGTTTATTATTTTTAGGAATAAGCTAAAAACAGAAAATATATTTTAAAAAAATATTTAAAACTAACATCAAAAATATAGTCATCAAATGATGAATAAAATTCTATTTTAATTTTCAAATTTTTACCACCATTTTCTAGATTTTTGAGAAAATCAATAATTGAAGTAAAAAATGATTCAAGATTTGTAACATATTCTTCAGGTGAAAGTAAAGAAACAGAGTCGTCAGAAATCGCTTGGTAAGAGCCTGGTTCGCTATAAAAATCGGTTTTCAACTTCGAATCAAAAGTAAAATCAAAATCAATAGATTCTAAAGTTGGACAGCAAAGAAGTAAAAATTGTATATAATTCATTAAATTGTTGAAAAAATTGGTTGTAGACTTAAGCTCAATCTGACATTTAGTTTTGATTTTCTTTGTACAATTCATAGAAATTGAAGGTCTATAAATAAAATTTCGATTAAAGTTTTGGCTCTATCTGAAATGAGGTGCGTAATCATATATTTTCTCCTTCTTTTCACAAGGTAAAAAGGGTCATTTTTTCCTTAGTATTTAATTTGTGTTGTTTTGCCTTAAAGAAAAATAATGCAGGAGGACTAACTTTTTACATTTTCTTTTCTGTGCCCGTGTTGTCTGTCCGTGTTCGTCCGAGTTCGTCCTTGTTTGGTACGTGTATGTACAGACAAAATTCGGACGAGCAAGGACAGACAGAACACGGACAGAAAAACTCGGACGAAGACGGACAGACAAAACACAGACCGAAAACGGACAGACAAAACACGGACGAAACGGACAGACAAAACACGGACGAAGACGGACATATACACGTATCAAACAAGGACGAACTCGGACGAACACGGACAGACAACACGGGCACAGAAAAGAAAATGTAAAAAGTTAGTCCTCCTGCATTATTTTTCTTTAAGGCAAAACAACACAAATTAAATACTAAGGAAAAAATGACCCTTTTTACCTTGTGAAAAGGAGAAAAAATATGATTACGCACCTCATTTCAGATAGGGCCAAAGTTTTTATAAAACAAAATACATTTTAAAAACTAAGATACATTTGAGCAAAAAGAAAAATTAAAAATACATATATCAATATTTATGTAAATTACCTTTCGAGTAAAACAAGTTCAAAAGTTTTTGTGTCACAGTCAAACATATTACCATTATTAGAACAAATAATCTCCATAGATTCAATATTCATTGAAAGTAATGTAATTAAATGTTTTTCTTAAAGGCTTGATTATTTTTAAAATTTTATAGAAAAATAAACTGATAGTTTCTGCTGGCTCATCAACAATAATGTTAGAGAGACTCAGACTCGAAGATGCTGGTGAACCTGAATCGAAAAAAAATTCTTAAAAATAATTTTAAAAAACCTGCAAGATTAACCAAATATTTGTAGATATTTTTATTTGTTGCAGAAAAATCAATTTTAGATAATTTTCCAAGAATTTTATTTATTTGAATAGATGAAATGTGCAATAAACCAGCATCAATAAGACCAGAAAATATCATTTTGTTAACATAATATGATGATTTACGAAAGTGAGACTAAAAATATTTATTAAATTAATCGGTTCTTTTTCATATACCAAACCACCACCCTTTCTAGTTCCAAAATTAACCTTTCCTTTCTTTCTATAAACAAGAGAGGACTTCCTTGTGATTGAGAAGGAACTATTAATTTTGAGTCCAGAATGAAAGAAATGGGGTGGGGCTAATCAAATATGATTGCAAAGACCTAGGACTGGACCAGGAAGGTTATTATAAAAAATTTATCCCCAGCAAATATGGGATAAACTTTGAAATTGCATTCGACCAGAAAGGAAAAGAAAAATAAAAACAGCCCACCACAATATACCGTATTTATTCTAATAGAGTGGCCGCCACTCTATTTTTCGATACCCCCAAAAAGGGGCCATTCTATTGGAGGGGCCATTCTAATGGAGGTGGCCATTCTATTTTTCATAGGTTAAAATCTGAGATTGGATGAACCTATTGTCCACTCGAATATTTTTCGACTTCGAAATTTAATCGATTTTTCTTATAAAATTCTAAAGTTTTGATTTAGGTTAGTGAATTTTCCTTCTCGTATCACTATAAAACATAAGAGCCTTTTGCCTGCGGGGCTAAAAAGGCAACTTTTGATGTACTTCGTTGCCACACAATCAAAATTTCCGGTACAGTTGGCTCCTAAAATTTTGTAGGATCTTGGAATTTGGACGTAATATACTGGAATCGGAATAGATTTATTCAATCCATGAATATCTAACCTTAATTCTCTTAATTCCTTGCTATTAGTTATCTTCAGTAAATCGTTGTAACTTCGTGATATCCCTTCTAATCCTCTCAAATCCCCTGATATCCCTCTTAATCTCCCTGTTATGACTCCAGATTTGCTCAAAAATATTATTATCCTAACTAAAGAGTACTATTTAACAGGTAATAAGAAAATAAAGAAATGTATTAGGTATATGTTTTGTAGTTAAAAGGGCCATTCTATTGGAGGGGCCATTCAAATAGAGGTGGCCACTCTATTTTTCGATACCCCCAAAAAGGGGCCATTCTATTGGAGGGGCCATTCTATTAGAGGGGCCATTCTATTAGAATAAATACGGTATTCAGTTATTACGTCTTTGTAAAATTTAATAAGACAATCATTGTCACAAGTTGAAAGATCAAGATGCTTCATTTTAGAAAAATTAGAAAGAACCGCTCTCATATTTCTTGCACTGTGATACTAAAATTTTAAATAAAAATATTATTTAAAAAAATCAAACCATAAAAAGAGCATAAGGATTGAAAAATTTACTTCGCAGATCAATAACCACATAACGATTTGGATTTTTAAAAAGTAATTTTTCAGAAATAATATAGAGAACATCATCGGATAAACGTGGTACTTGAGCCATCTGCAAAAAATTTTTTAAAGAAATGCAAACAAATTAATTAATAAAATTAAATGGATTAACAAAAATAAATAAAGCAAATCACCCGAACAAATCAACTTAACCTGCAACCAAGCCCCGTTTCAGTGAAATAAATAAGAGTTTTTCTCTTTTTCTATTTCGCTCTATTTTTTCCGCGTGCTATTTCGCTAAAGATTTGATGTGACACAGCGGGTTAACTCTGTTGACAGACAGGACATAGCCAGAGAAACCCATTTATTCGCAAAAACGACCCGTTTATTCGCGAATACCGCCTGTTTATTCGCGAAACTGCTCCATATAAACGCAAGGCGCATTCATCTATAGGACATAACTTTGTTAGGAATTATTCAGTCAAGCTGATTTTGGTGTCATTCGACTCAGCTCGACGAGCTCTTTCGATCGACCTATAATTTGCATGTCCAAAACTCTAATCCCGAAAATTTTAAAATTTCGGGGGCCTGTAACTCGGCCCTATGAAGTCGGATCACGTTGATTTTGGTTTTATTCGACTCAGCTCGAGGAGTTCTTTCGAATGAACTAACATTTGTTAGATGATCTAAGTCGCAGATGATCTAATTCTCATCTAAAAAATGACCAAAATTAATTTTGCATTAGCTCACTCAGTTTTGCATTAAAATTTCTGAAAATTTTTTCACATAATCTTAAAACAATTTTCTACAAAATGTATTGACAGATTTTAAATCGTATAGGCGGTTCTCAAGATATGGGATTTCAAAGTTTTGTGGGTAAATAGGAAAATGAGAGTAATGCTTTATTCTAAGAGAAAATTAGAGAAGCAGAGAAAAGCGAGAGATATGGCTATGTCCGCGTTAACCCGCTGTGTGTGACAACTTCAAGAAGCTTTATCTCGAAAAAATTCTAATTTTTTAAAAATTGTATTTATTGTTAATATAAATCATGAATGAGAGTTTTATCTTTGGCTTAAATCTCCCCAGAAATAGCAAAGTTTTAGATTTCTCTTTTTCCACTACTTTCTTGTCATTAAAAATGAACAATTTGAAGTGGCTGACATTTTACTAAATTTAAGCGATGTACCATTTTGTCTATTGACATTTTGTAGAGTACTGTTTTATCCCGGAATCATTGAGTCCCGCCGTTTGAGTCCCGGAGCCATATTTTGGGCCATATTTTTTAAATTCCTAATCGATTTAGATAATTAATATATCAAACGAAAGCTCTTGATGTAAGGATTATCTTATCTAGCAGGATTGATCTGATCAGATCAACATACAAAAAGTTACAGCATAATAAAGATCAAAAATCACGATTCGCGCACTTATCTAGATGTAACTTTTTGTAGAATGATCTGATCAAATCAATCTAGCTGGAAAATAATTTTCGCATACAGAGCTTTCGAATTATAAAAGAATTATTCTAATTGGTCGAAAATGCAAAGTTATGGCTTAAAATATGGCTACGGGACTCAACTGGCGGGACTCAATGATACTTCTACCCATTTTATTCGGTAAGGGTCGTTTCAGAGATGCCTAAACTATGCTAGAATCAAAATAAATAATCAGATATGCGTTTTAACTTTTTGTGAAATGGATTAATCGAATAGGACTAATTATGAAATTGTATCCTTCCTTCGAATGGTTAAATAGCTCGAATCTGTCGAAAATCAAAAAAAAGTTGAGTTTGCTCTGAATCAATGGCCCCGAATCGGCCTTTACCATTTTTTCTTTACAAAAAGCAGACAGCGGAAATTCGGGTACGGCCCACCTTGTCGCGGGCCACCTTGTCGCGACCACTTTGTCGCAGGCCACTTTGTCGCAGGCCCACCTTGTCGCAGGCCACTTTGTCGCAAGGGTCATTTTTTAGTTCGCTAAAAACCGAAACCAAAACTGCGCAAAACTAACTAGGAGTGATGGGATCTCTTCCTCCTTGCATCTTCACACGATTTCCATCTTTTTTTGCTCTTTCGGCTTCCGAATTTTTAAAAGTGGGTGTTCATCAAAATTTATTAAATGGAAATATTATAACAAAAATTCAATAACCAGACTATTAAACTGAAATGATTCATGACCAGACAGAAAAGTAAAATTCAAAATAAAAATAAAAAATTGTCAATTAATCTTGAAATTGTGTGAGATTCCTCGTAAGTATTCAACGACAGTGCCAAGCTCGTAGCGGTTAACAATATTTGAAATTCTTTCATCCGCTTCTTCATATTTCCTTCTTTTCCTTGCTGCATGATGGCCTCCAACAAATTGTTCGTACTGTGCATCACATAGTTTTACAACCTAAATTTATTTATTAACTTGTTAGTTGAAAGTCCTATATTTACTTTTTTCAATTCATCCAAAAACTTCCAAATGGTTGGATGAGCAACTCCTAACTGTAACTGGACTTTTTTGTGAAACGCCTCACAGTAGTTGTTAGTTTTATCTTGATTTGTTGATTGTTGATTGTACGTTCGTAGACATTCCATGAAGAGGGGACAAATGTAGGTGGGGCACGGGTACCGTTATTTCGGATTCTACCAATATAAGTATTTGTGAAATATGCAAGAATAGGTTCCAATTCAAGAGGGAGATAATTTTCTAACATATTGAGGGCTTCTAAGAGATCATTTTGGGGTACAAAAGCAAGTGATACAATCATTCGAGAATTAAGAGCAAATTCAGGGTTTGTGTTATAATGATTGAGAAGATTTAATGAAGATAAGTGCTTTTTTAAATTAGAGAATAAGTGAAAAAAACAACCACGAATATGAGATTCAGGGAAGATAGTCCTAATTGCATTATGAATAGCCAATTCAAAGTCTACGCTAATTGAGTCGGGATTAAGATTGGGAAAAATTCTTCTTATCATTCCAAAAGTCCTCGCGTAAGTGTTCTCATTTTTGTTGGGAAGAAGACAGTAGAAAATCGGCAGAACATAGTCATTTCGTCGAGCCAAGACCACAAAGAATTGATAAAACAAAACAGGGCAAATCAGAAATGTGCCGTCGACGTAAAGCTCTTCAATGAGATGAGACCAATCTTTAAAGAAAATAATAAATTCACAATTAAATTAAACAAAAACCTTGAAAACTTTCTCTACCAAAAATGAGAATGCGTTGCTCATCGCCCTCTCCACTGTCTGCCAACAGAAATTGCTCATAGACACCAGGCTCTGACTCGTATCGGCTGTAGTCACGTGGAATTATCAAAGTTGCCCTATTGTCAGGATTTCTAGGCGCTTGCTGTTGCTGTAGTCGAACTCGTTTCACGATTTTGCGCATGGCTGATTTGTTCTGAAGTTGGCCTAAATTTTTTTAAATTACTCGGATTTTTTAAATTACTCTATCGACCCGGTATAAGCCGGTAATGCAACCCATTGTGGTGAACAGACCTGGGCGAAACTCAAAATTTTTTTCTGACGAAACGAAACGAAACAAAATTTTTTAAAAATCGTTTCGTTAACGAAACGAAACGAAACAACCAAAATCTTACGAAACGAAACGAAACAAAACGAAACATTTTAATATTCAAAAAATTTTCAAAACTGCATTTATTTCGCAATTATTCGACCTCAAATACTTTATTAGTCGCCTATGCCTTATAAATTAGAGCCCGGACGGAGGGCTCGGTCGATATTTTTTTGATAAATACCGAAAAATACCGAATATCGAAAAATATCGAAAAAATCAAAATTTTCTCGGTCGATATTTTTTCGATAATATCGAAAAATATATATCGAAAAATATCGAAAAAATATCGTATCGAGCCGGGCTCTATTATAAATGATTTAGTTATTGGTTTATTTACAACAATTGTGTCCCATAAGCCAGGCCCGTAGCAAGGAAAATTTTCGGGGAAGGGGGGGGGGGTCAATCATTTTCGAAGCCGAATTTTTGGCGACGCTTTTTTTCAAATAAGATTGAATATTTTTCAAGTAAAATTTTATTTTAAGCGCCGCAGACGAAAAATTTTAAAATTTTGAAAGGCCGTAGGCCAAAAAATTCACTAGCTTGCTCCATTGCCTACCCAAATTGTCTCCATATCTCCATTTCGAGAGGAAGGCGATATAAGCTAGTGCTTCGCCGGAAGTTCCGGTTCCAGTATTTCCGCAACTCGCAATCCGCAATTTTTAAATTATGATGCGAGTCCGGTAATAGAATTTGTCGTCTATTAAGTAATATGTATATGTGGATTAGGGAGTAGAGTATAAACGGATTTGTAGTATATAAGTAATTGATATCTTCCTTTTTCAGCGCCGCAGGCGAAAATTTTGACAATTTGGGAAGGCCAAGAAGCCGAAATTCTTCTTTTTTCAGCGCCGCAGGCGAAAATTTTTTAAATTTTCAATAAAAGATGGTAAATTTTATAGATTTTGGCCTTAGTTTAGGCTTAAAAAATTGTTTCGTTTCGTTGAAAAATCACAGGTGTTTCGTAACGAAACGAAACGAAACAAATTTAAAAGTGTTTCGTAACGAAACGAGACGAAACAGTAAAAATCATACGAAACATACGAAACAACGAAACGAAACGAAACGTTTCGCCCACGTCTGGTGGTGAAATCCCAGGCGCTATCCGAGGCAGAAACTTTACTTCGCTAATTAAAAAACAAAAACCTAAGACAGCAGCAGAAGCTCCTTGTACAACATTGCTTCTAATTTGTGCTGGGTTTTCCATTGTAGTTGCAGCACGTTGTCGAACACTTGTCAATATTTGTTGTACAGAAACTTTCGCAGCATCGCCTAAAATTTAAAAGTGAAGTTAGGAATATAAGTCACTATGAAATTTACCAGTTGTTGAGCAACTGTGATCGGTGACCAATCGAACAAACTCCCTATTCTGGCACGATGTAGTCCAAATCCTGCCTTTACATCCGTTTCCTCTCTCATCACAACGCCAAAATATTAGATGTCCATCCGCGCTATCTCTGTCCTTCACGTAACAGTAGCCGTTGTGATTATATTTTTCGTGATTTCTATTGGAGAGCATATTGAAACTTAAAAAAACATTAGCAAACAAATAGCATAATGAAACAAAATACTGAATTGAATTTTGAAGTTATAGGTTATTGAATTGTTTGGTTATTGAATTGGTTATTGATTATTGAATTGGTTATTGAATTGGTTATTGAATTGAAGAAAATTGAAGTTATAGGAAACTAAAAAGAAATTTTAAAAATTAAAAAAAAACAAGAAAAATAAGTACTGCGACAAAGTGGCCTGCGACAAGGTGGGCCTGCGACAAGGTGGCCTGCGACAAAGTGGTCGCGACAAGGTGGTCGCGACAAGGTGGCCCGCGACAAGGAGGGCGTGTCCCCGGAAATTCACCTGGCGTGACGGTTAATGATACTTTTTATTTAAAGATTGGTTAACTATACTAACATTAAAACTGCCAACTCACTGCTTTTTATATTTTACTCTAATTTTCTTAATTAAATAATTTTTAGAAATTAAAATCTTTTTTTCGAAAGAGATTAACTGATTATTGAGATTTAAAATTATATCGACCTTGAACATTAATAACTAACCTAAAATATTTTTTTATTAATATTTAATTTAGATTTGTCTAAAATTATTTAAAATCTTTAATTTCAAAAAATGACCAACATAACTGCTGATGGCAATTCACCCACTCCAAATGATATTGAGGCTATTTTTAAACGACTTAGGATTCAACCAGCAAATAAGGTTATATTACTTTAACATTTCTGTTATTTTATTAACCAAATACAGTCGAATCTCGTTATGACGAACTCGAGGAGGTCTGAGAAAAATTTAGTTATTTCGAGATATTGTTATATCGAGGGTCTACTTTATTTCCCCAAATCGAATTAATAAATTAAATGATTTTTTATTTAATTTTCGTGGAAATTGTCCTCGCTAAATAATTTGAATAATCTTGACAATCATGTATTTGAATAGGATTGTTTTTTGATATATAATTCTTCAAACGATTTAAGAAATCTTTTTTGAGTTCACTTCTAATTAAGTGGTATGATCTTGTAATACCTAAAGCTTGAAATACCTAAGCTTGAAATACATAAAGCTTGAAATACCTAACATTGTAATACCTAAAAGCTTGAAATACCTAAACCCCAAAAACGCTTGAAATACCTAATTGTGGAAAAAAGCTTGTAATACCTAACCCCCAAAAATTTTTTAAATACCTAACCTTAGAAAAAAGTCATTGGAACGTCATCCCCCGTTCACGAGACAACATCCCCGTCACTGAATCAACATCTCCCATTCACGGGACAACTTCCCCCGTCACTGAATCAACATCCCCCATTCACGGGACAACTTCCCCCGTCACTGAATCAAAATCTCCCATTCACGGGACAACTTCCCCTGTCACTGAATCAACATCCCCCATTCACGGAACAACTTCCCCCGTCACTAAATCAACATCCCCCGTTCATGGGCCAACTTCCACCGTTCACGGGACAACATCCCCCGTTTACGGGACAACTTCCACCGTTCACGGGACAACATCCCCCGTTCACGGGACAACTTCCCCCGCCACCGAATCAACATCCCCCGCTAGCGGGGGCGGCCGCTGTTCCCCCATCACTGAGTCAACATCCCCCATTGTTGGGTCAACAGTTTGGTATTTCAAGTTCTTACGGGTGTTTGGTATTTCAAGCTTTTTTCCAAGGTTAGGTATTTCAAGGGCTTTTGGGGGTTAGGTATTTCAAGCTTTTTTCCACAATTAGGTATTTCAAGCGTTTTAGGGGCTTAGGTATTTCAAGCTTTTTCCCACGTTTAGGTATTTCAATAGTTTTTGGGGTTTAGGTATTTCAAGCTTTATGTATTATAAGACGTTCCGAATTAAGTTTTACATAAAATATATTTCTAAGGTTTGTTTCGATTGTGGTGCGCGTAATCCAACATGGTCATCTGTTACCTATGGCGTCTTTATCTGTATTGATTGTTCATCCGTGCATCGAAATTTAGGTGTACATCTTTCTTTTGTTCGTTCGACTAATTTGGATACAAATTGGTTTATTTTGTATTTTTAATTTTTTTTGTTAATTTTGATTTTAGGTCTTGGGTACAACTTAGAGCAATGCAAGTTGGAGGAAACGCTGATGCTGTATTTTTTTAAATAATTAACTAAAGATTTGATTAATTTTTTTATTTCAGATTCAATTCTTCAAGCAACATGGCTGTGAATCGAGTGATTCCCAAATAAAATATAATAGCCGTGCTGCTTCTCTTTATAAGGTTTTTTAAATTTTTATACATTTGCAAGTTTTATCGTGTAAATTTATTTGGCGTTGTTTTTCTAGTTGAATGTTTATTTTTAACTTTTTCTGTGACTTGTACATATTTCTGATTTTAAAAATGGTTTTTTTATTTCTTGGAACCCCATTTAAATTTGAGGACAAAACTTTTTTAAAAACAAATAATAAAATTATTTTCAAACAGCATCGAATTACCGATTTGGCAACAAAAGCGCAACAACAGGCTAATACCAATTTATTTTTTGATGAGCACCAAAGAGCCCCATTACTCAAAAGTGAGTCTTCGGAGGAACGAGATTTCTTTGGACAACCAACGAATGAAGATAATAATCAAAAAAGGGACGAATTATTTAAAGAAGCATCCCTTTCTGGTTTTTTTAAATTATTTTTATTTTGTTTCTTTTTTAATTTTTAGAAATTCCTCATGCACCGATGGTGCAGAAGAAGAAAATAACTGTAAGTATTTCTTTGCTCGACTTTTGACCTAAAAATTAATTTCTCTGTTGGACGCTAACGAATAGGATTGGAATCCCATTTATCTTTTTTTTTTTCGAGATATTGAAATTAAAGCTAAGTAAATAAACTTTCTTTGGCATATAAAAAAGAGTGAACTGACGCTATAGGCTAAATGTATAAATAATCCTTAAATAATTTTATTTTTAGCTTGGCCAGAAAAAAGGAGGCGGTTTAGGTGCTCAACGAATAAGAATGGTAAATAAATTTATTTTTTTTAAATAAAATTTGATTTTATTCTTTTAGAATTTTACTGATGTTGAACAAAAAGCAAATGAATTTGACAAAGCACAATTTGACCGACTGCAAATGCAACAGACACAACATACAAAAGATGATATTAAATCTAGTGGAGATGATAACCTGCATTCACTTTCTTCTAAATTCATTATGCAAAGCATTTCTGACAAAAAGAAGGTTTCATAAATTAAATTAAAAACAGAAATTTTTTAAAAATCTAACAGCATTTTTTTGATTTTATATTTCTGTTTATTAGGGGTTTTAGGATTAAAATTTTAGCCGATTATCTATTACTTTTAAAATTCGTTAAGAATCTAACATTTCTTTTATTTTTACATTATCCTTTCGATTTCCGAATCCCAGAGGAAAATAAATCTCAAATTTTTTGATCATTTACAAACCTAGAATTTATTTTTGTTTAATTTCAGGAAGCAATTGCCGACCCAAAGAAGGCTGAACAAGCCGAACGTTTGGGACTTTGTGGTCGAAATGTGGGCAGTGGAAGCATTAGTCACTCTATTACTGGTGGAATACGTACTATTCAACAAGAAGATGTTTTTGGTTCAAAATCGAGAAAAGGTTTGTTTTGAAGTTTCCGTCGATGAACGCAGTTTCATTTTTTCTACATTTGAATGTGTCGGGTCTAATAATTTATTAACTAAATTTTAGGTCGTGATATGTCTTATGCTGGAAGCGGCAAAATTTCTGATGAATGGGAAGTTATTGAAAGCAAAGGAAATAAATTCGGTACAAAAACAGCTTTAAGTTCAGGCTTTGAAGAAGATGAAGGAAATGAAGAATTTTTTGATGCTTGGGACAAAACGTCTTCACAGAAAAATGATGGGGCGAGTGATTTATTCCAACAAAAGTCAAAGAGAAAGTCACCATCTCCTGTACCCCTTGTAGTAACCAAATCTCCAGCGAATGCTCGCAATGTTGGGAATAATAATGGCGGGGGTGATGAGGCAGTAAAGAAGTTTAATAAAGCAAAAGCTATTAGTTCTGATCAATTTTTTGGACGAACAGGAGAAATGGATGTAAGTTGGAATTTCTTTTTTTGGCCTTCTGTTTGGTCCAAAAATTTGTTTTAAATTTATAAAAAAGATTTTGGAACAATCGTACCTTAAAAATTAATTTTTACTAACTTTTAACTAATAGTATTTTCTCGCCTATTTTCTTCTTTCGATTAAAATTTTATTATTTTAAATAGATGGATACTCGTGCAAATCTAAGTCGTTTTGAGGGGCAAAATTCAATTGGAAGTGCTGATCTTTTTGGTAATTCTAAAGGGGGGCAACAACAAACTACACGTGGATGGTCTACTTATTCTGAACAAATACCTGAAATGTCTGATATAAAAGATTCTGTAGTTCAGGTTAATTTTGAATATAAAAGAAAGCTAGGGATATTTTCTGTTCAATTTTTTTTTGTGATTTTCTGGATTAGTTAGATTATTCCTATGGTAGTTGAAATAAAATTTCTGTTCAAAATTCAATAAGCTGGTATCAAAAACCTTTCAATTTTATTTTTAAGGGTATGAGCAAAATGACAGAAAAGCTATCAGGGTTAAGCAGTTCAGTTAGTTCTTATCTTTCGGTCAGTTTTATTAAATTTTTTTAAATATATATTTTGTGGTATTTCTCTTCTCTTTTTTTAATAAAAATCTTTGGGTCTCGATTTTTTAAGCAATTTTTCTAAAATATTTTCATTAATTTATTTTCTCAAAATCTTAAATATTTTTATTTTCCACAAATTAAACAAGAAAATATTGCTTTTAGAAAACCCCAACAAAGGGCTGATCAAAAGGCAAGTATGTCACTGATTATTTTTTTGAATTTAATTTCTTTTCTCTATTTTCTTTTATCCTTTCGATTCTTTGTTTTTTTTTGTTTTTTTTTTCCATTTCTTTTTCAATTTTTGTTTTTAAATTTTTGGTCATAACAAAAATATTTTCTTAAATTAATATTTATTTTTCTTGTTCCTACTAAATTTTGTCTTTTGGAATTTAATTTAAAAAATTTGTTTTTACTATAAAACAACTCAATATTTTTTGTTATGACTTGTTAATTTTAATATCGGCAAAAGAATTTAAATTTTATTTAAATTTGGTTTAACATCTAGAAAATTAGAATTAAAGTCTATTGCCGTTATTGTTGATTTTATTTAAAAAGATTTTTCTTATTTAAAAATTTTTTATTTAAAGGAACGATACTGACAAGTGTGGATAGCTTCAATTAATGGATTTGGAAAGTGATTGAAAATTAAGAAAAGAAAATTTTAAAAAGAATTTGTCTCTCGCCGTCCCTAAATTTTCCCTTATGTATTACCTTTTGAATTTAAATTTAAAAAATTTTCCCTTTCGAACATTTTGTTAGAATTAAAGTTTTGGACATAAAATGCACAAAAATTCAAATGTTGTTTTGCTTTCGAAATTATTTTTAGTTAATTCCTCTGTCTGCCTATTTAATTCTAACATATTCAAATCTTCTATTATTCTAAAATGATATATACTTTCTACTAGTAATTTACCTGTAAATGTTGAAATGATTCCTTTTTTCTATTAAAATAATTTTTAGATTGTTGAGTGAGTGTTGAAAGATCAAAAACGCTTGACAATTTAAACAATTTGGAAAGGATTTTTATTCTTTCTAGTATATGTTGTGGGTAAAATATTTCTATCTCGCCGCCCCAATTGCCGTCATATATTGTTAATATTTCCTGAGTACCCTTATCAAAGATTATTTTTAGCTGCAACATATAAAAAAAATTTAAATATATACATATAAATGTTGTATTGAGACAAGTTGTGATATTTCCACAATGTTATGATTGATAAACTTTCGAGAATGTAATTTTTCGATTTTTATAACAAATTAAATTAATAATTTATTTATAAGATGGCACAAAATACAATAAAATAATGAGGAAATAAATGTTTTTAGAAAGAAAACAAAAAGCTTAAAAATTAATTCCTTAAATTCTCTTATTCTCTTCACTGTTCAAGTGATTTAATAAGGAAAAGATTCTGTACTGTCGTCCCTTCTGTTTTACATAAACCTCTTTTAATCAAACATTTATATCTTACTAGAATATTATTTTTTCCTGAGGTTTATGCAAAATATATTTCCCAAAAAAATTATCTTTCATTTATTCTTTTTTCTAAACTATTTTTCTCATCCACTGACTCCCTCATTCCTTCATTTGGAGATTCATGAGACTTTGAATTTTGATAAGTTTTCCTCACATTTTCTGGTGAAAGTCCGATCTATTTATTTTAAATGTTAATTAATTTCTTTTTTAAAAATTACTGCAATTTTGATGGGCAAAATTTTGTTTTGTGAAGATGTTGGAAGTATTGTTTCCCCATTATTACCAATCTTTTTAAAAGCATCTTTGAAACAAATTTTTTGTTGGGTATTTGATGATTTTATGCTTTCTATTTAAATTAAAAAGTATAAATTATTCAAATAATTGGAAATTATATTAAGAATTTTACTAAGTGACTATAAATTTCTCAAATAAATTCGCCCAAAATTCGACTTTTTTAAATTCATATTCATACAACAGTTTGACGTTTGAAATGGGAAATTTAGAAAATATTAGGCGTATTTGAAATTTAAAAACAATTTCTAATAATTTTCAAGTCCCGAAAAATTTTATCCAAGAGTCAGTTTTTCTTTATTTTTCAATTACCTGTTCTACTAGTATTTGTTGACAATATTTTTCTTTCACTATTATTTTTTGTCACTGACGATAAATAAGATGAATTCACAATTTGACATTTTTTGGATTTTTTAAAAGGAATTGCCGCGTAAACAATTGGAAGGACTACAAGTCCATGAAATAGTCCAAGTGAAATTACGAGAACAATTACTTTGACAAATACCTAGAAAAAATTTGGAATTTTTTAAAAATTCTCTTTTTCATTTACCTGAACCATATAAGCATGTACAAGTACTAAAACAAGTAAACTAAGTACTGTAGATAATGCTGCTTGAAGCATAGGCCAAGCAATTGAACGTAATGCATGCACCAAACGTTCTCTACAGTCTTCAATTTCTCCTTTGTAGTAGTGAAAGCTTATATGCGCAACAAAATCTACTGAAAGACCTATTGCCATTAAACTGAAAATAAAAAGAAATTTTAAAATTGTATTCGGTTAATGTTGAATTTTTATGTAAATAATTTGTTTGTGCCTCGATGTCGGTGGTTCAGTCGGTAGTGTCTTAGACTGTGTAGCGATGAGACCGCGGTTCGAGTCTCATTGGTGATTATTATTTTTAATATACCATTTATAAAAAAATAATTACGTTGTTGTCATCGAAATTGGGTCCAAATCAATACTCCAATAAAATAAAAGGCCAAAAACGCCAATATTAATTGATAAAACAGCAGCGGTCCCCGGCAATATTGTACTCAATGAAGGAGTAAATAATATAAGGACAACAGTCATGCATAAAAGTGCAAAGCCAACTTTTTAAAAAAATAATAATTCTTAAAAATAAAATTAAACACCTGTCTGCATAGTTACTGGAGGGATACTTAGCAATTGATCTGCATACATACTTTAAATTGAATTTATTTTTTGTTGAAAAATAAAACAAATTTAAGTATTGTATATTTGTGAATATCTGGCTTATTAAAAAAGTATTCTCTGTAAGGTTTTAAAAATCTCTAAAATTTCTAAATATATAAAATTGTATAACAATTCTGAAAATTTCAGATTTTTTGTGGTAATTAATTTTTATCCGAAAATAACGTCCATGGTCAAGCTAGTAGTTGCAAATTACAAACCTAATCCCTTTGCAGACTACAAAGTGATTAGGTAGTGGGTTCGAACCTACCTGAGACAAGAATTTTTATACTCAGCAATTTAAAGTGTTAACTAAATATTTAATATTTTCTGTTTAAAAAACCTAAAATCTTCATAAACAGTTAAATTTAAATGAGAATAATCATCTGCCAATTTCCTCCAATTTTGAAGTAAATCTAATCTGTCCTTCCAGTCCACAGCATTTCGAAAGCCAGTAGAAAAAAAGAATTTATGGACACAAGAAGGACGTTCATTTAAACATTCTCTATTTTTAAAAATTAAAAAAGAAAATAATTTCAAAGAAAATACTCTTTAGTTCCAAGACTAACAAAATGACTCCAACGATGATATTCAGTAATTGCAAAAAAGTCGTAGAGGTATTTGTAGCGAAAATCAACTGATCCTCTATTCTTAAATATTTAAATAATTGAAGGGGTAAAAAACAAAAGCTAATGAAATTATAGTTAACGTATTTTCTAAAATAATTACCCAGGGTAATTATGGGTAAAATAATTACCCATAATTACCTAAAATAATAATTATTGTTTCAACCTCTCGCTTGAGGGGGTAATTAAAAGAGAGGAGGTAATTATTCGAGCTTTTTCTAAAAAAAGGCTAATTATAACTATTTTTAAGAAGGGTAATTATTTCTCCGATCTCTGACTGTAGGGGGTAATTAATAGGGTGGGATAATTATTTGAGAGAGGGACATTATTTAAGCATTTATGGTATATAAAAACTTTCGTTTTAGAAGTAGATCTTGGATTAAATTTGTTCACTATTCGGAAAAAATTAATTTATAGCTCAATTCCTTTACCATAAAAAATTTTATCCTTTTTTACTAGCAAATTTTTGAGTTAATGGTATACCATAAATAGAGTCCGGATTTTATTCTTCTCTCCAAAAAGAGAAATAAAATAAGGAGAAAAGAGTGAGAATATTTTATTACTCCTCAAAATTCAAAAAAAGTATTTTTAAATTTACTTGTAATCCAATAAAAGGCAAATAAGTATTTAGCCACATTTGTGTACTCGAAGCCCCCACACTTCCATAAGCGTGCTCAAATCTTTCCAAAATTTTCATAATTTCGGGCACAGCCTCGGGATGTCGAAGATCCCCAGGATTGTTAATAAATACAGACATCTTAAATAAATATTTTTAAAAATTAATTTAAATTATTTAAACACCTGTCCTCCTTCTTTAAATATAACATTTGTTTGTAATCTAACCTTAAAAAATTTGAGAAGATTATTTTTAAAAATTAACTAAACCAATTCAAGCAAAGGAGAATCATCCAAAAATAATTTTTCTGAAGTTAACCCAACACGAATTTGAGAAACTGAAAATAAATTTTTGTAGTTTGCCGACTTCAAAAAAATTTTCAAGAAAAACCTCCATAAGCAGAAAAACTCCAATAAATAACCATAACAAATAAAAGTAAAATTCTCGCTGTCCAACTCATCACAAAATCAACATAAATATTAATTAAATTAGAGGACCAACGAATTAATATTTTTGTAAATTTTTTTGTTGAATATTTGTTACTTTTATTAATTTCTAAATTTTTGTTTAAATTGTTGCCGTTAATTATGTGCTGAAAAATAATTAAAAAAAATTTTTGAAAGAATTTCTTGTTTACTTTAAATTTTTTGGATTTAAAAAATAAAAAATAAGCATTTCTTCCAGACATTTCTCTACGCCCACCAATTGTCATAATTGCCGTATAAAAGAATAATTGGTAAATATATGCAGAGAATACAGCCGTTGAAATAAATATACAAAATGTCTGAAAAAGTATTTTTTTTTGTTAATTTAATCGAAAATTTAGGTAATTTCGAGTAAAATTACTGTTTTACAATATACCGTAGATGATCAAATAATTACCCTGGGCATTTAATATTTCAAACTTTCACTGGAGGGAGTAATTAATATTTGAGAGAGGTGGTAAAATAAGGATATATTAAAAAAGGGTTCATTAAAATTTTGATTATTTTTTAATAAACTTTCTAATCCCTTTTCTACTTTCAAAAGACAACACTTCATCATAATTTATAGTAAAAATTATGGAATAATTTTTGAGGGAAAAGTATGGCTATCTAAGAGGGCATTGGAGGACCTAAATTCTGTTAAAAAAGTTTCTTGAAAATTTATTTTTCTAAGAGATTTGCAAAATTAAAAAAAAATTACACGAATAGCAGGTGTCGGTGTAGCTATTCCAATTGTAAAACTTAGCCAATTAGTTAAAGAAGTAATTGTAATTGACGGCCCAGCACTTCCCAACATATCGGCAATTCTTTCTCTTAAAGCTTTTTGAGGGTCAGTATTTTCCCAGCAATGAAGAAAAATAAAAACATCGTCAACTCCAATAGCCAAAACTAGGAAGGGAACGACGACAACAATTGGTAAAAATTCAAAATTGAGCTTAAAAAGAATATATTTTATAAATATTTAAATTAAAAATACCCAAAATAAAATTCCAAAAGAAGCAAAAATTGAAAGAATTGGACAAAAAACACCAAAAAGTGATTCCCACGGTTTACTTTTAATTTGATCACTTTTTAATGAAGTAATGACCTAAAAAATATTTAAAATTGTTATTAAATAAATTTATAATAAAAATTCCTAATTTTTGGTTAATTCCTTAAATTATCAGAAATTTCTATAATTATAGAAAATTTTGTTTCACTAAAGAATTGTCTATTTATTAAGAATCAAATCAATTTTAAAAAAATAAAAAGAAAATAATTGTTTTTTGCTCAGCCAAAGACCCTTAAATTTATTTCCAAATTTTTAACCCCTCTCCTCCTAAAAAATTAAAACAAAAAATAACCAAACCACCATAAAAATCATAATCACAAGTAGACTAATAGGCATTAAAGGCAACACTTCAATTCCAGTCCTTCTAACTTCCTCAGACACCAAACCTTCGGAAGTAACAAATAATCTAATTAAAGGATCATTTAAAGTTTCAAAAGCATAATTAGAAACTGCATGTTCCCATTTCTTCATAACTCTTTCCATCGTTGAATTTGGATATATTGCATGGAAATTAATTGCTATTAAATTAGCACCTTCAACGAGGCGAGATCTTTAAAAAAATTTTTAAAGTTTAATTTGGAATTGGAAATATTTAATTTTAAAAATATAAAAGTTATAATTTGGATATCGACAAATGTAATTAGGGTATTAATATTTTAATTATATTTTTATAATAAATCAAAGTTTATGTGTGTAAACAGTTGTCTCCAAAAACCCAAAGCCGAAAGACTCCCGAGAAAACTCCTTCATTAAGTCTCATGCTGGTAGAAACAATGCTAAGGATTTTAATCCGTAGCGACATAGCTGCAGATAGGGTAGCTGCAGATAAAAAAATCTGCAGATAAAATCCGTAGTAACAATGCTAAGGATATGTAGCTGCAGCTACGGATTTTTTTATCTGCAGATACCTAGCTGCAGATAGGCAAAATATGAGTATATTTTAAAATTTAAATTCGCGCCAAAAATTGATTTTTCGAATAAATAGAAAATAGTGAGACATTTATAAAATAATTCTTACTTTTTTTAATTTTTAATTTTTATTTTTTAGATATTTGATTAAAATATTAAATTTAGGAAGATAATTTTTCATTTATCTGTATTAAAATGGTATTTACACCAGAGATGACTAATAGGCTCCTTGAATTAATCCAAGCTAATAAAGAAAATCTTTTCCCTGGATCAAGAAATGCCGATGCTAGTAAAATTCAAAAAGAGGCTTGGGCCGAAGTCACAAATATTTTAAATAACGAGTTTGTTATTGATGTACCTGTGGGTGGAATGAAAATATCACAAGTACAAACAAGGTGGAAAAATTTACGTCAAAATGGGAAAGAAGAGGCTCAAAAAATTCGAAAGTATGATTTCAATAATGTTTTTTTTATTTTATTGATTTATTAGGCATAAAATGGGAACTGGAGGAGGACCTGCTGCATGTATTTCTGGGGCAGCACAAAAAGTAATTGAGATGTTTGGAACATCTGCTGCATTTTGTGGAGTGACCGGAGGTTTTGAATCTGGAATTTCTCGTGGTGTTGTACTACAAATGATGGAAGATTTAGGGGACGATGAATTAGAAAATGAAGAAGCAAAATTGTTTGAGCTTGAACAAATGGAGGCGCCAAGTAGTAATATTAAAAAGGCAGGTTTTTTTTGAATTTTAAATTGTTACATCAAAAAATCTCAGAATTAATTTTAAATTTTCATTAAATTTCAATTTGTTTAATTTTTAAGAGCCGACATTCTTGTGACACTCCAACAACTTCTAGAATTCCAATTCATCAAAAAGCATTGGAAATTGAAGATCTCAAATTAAAGGTCCTCAAAGGCGAAATGGAAAGAATCGAAATGCAGAAAGAATATTTGACAAAAGCAAATAAATTTATGGAGGAAGGGATTGAATTTTTTAGATCTGGCCGAAAATTTTATGAATCGTAACATGTTTGACTAATTTTTTTGAAATTTGCTTTCGAATAAAAGATTAAATATATTTTTTATTTTTATTTACATTTATAAAATGTTTTAATATTTATTAATTTTTTATTCATTTATACAAGTTTAAGTATGGCTTTTGTTTGTTTTATGCCTTTTGAAGAAGAGGATGATGGCAGAAATAAACGAAATGAAAAAATTTATTTGAGACGAAATAATGTATTAAATACATTTTCTGATGAAGATTTACTAAAGAGATTTAGATTTAATAGACAAGGAATTAAGGTTCTAGTTTTATTAGAAATTTTAAAATTAAATTTTTAAGTACATTTGTGATATTGTCAGAAATGATGTTAAACCGAGAACCGGAAAATCTGGTGCCTTATCAACAGAAATTCAAGTTTTTGCTACTTAAGGATATTTAGCTTCATCTTCCTTTCAATTATGGTGTAGTGACATTTTGGGAATTTCTCAAAGGTCCGTTTCAAACTCGATTCGCCGCGTGACGAGAGCACTGTGTTTAAAAGCTGGAGATTTTATCTTCTTTGAGGAGTATGAACAAGTAAAAACTTTTAAAAATTTTTTCAAATCATTTAAATTCAGGCGAGGAATAATACTGTTCCTGCTTTTAATGCCATTGCCGGTATGCCTAATGTTGTTGGATTAATTGATTGCACACATATCCCAATCCTTACCCCTTCAGAAAAGCAGCATGGAAGAGATTACTACAATAGAAAGGGTTGGTCAAGCATCAATGTGCAAGGTCAGTTTATTTTTATCTATGATTCATTAAACAAGTATTTTAGCAGTTGTTGATAACAAAGGGCGTTTTCTAAACATCAATTGCCGTTGGCCTGGCAGCTCTCATGACTCGTTTATTTTAAGGCACTCGGAGGTGTGGAACAGTTTTGAGCGTAGACAATTACGTGGAATTTTGTTAGGTATTTAAAGTTCTCCTTTTGAAAAATTTTAAGGTGATAGCGGATATCCATGCCGTAAGTGGTTACTAACACCTTTTCCCAACCCTACAACAGCTGCCCAACAACGATTTAATGCTGCTCATGTTAGGACGCGTGTAATTATTGAACAGACATTTGGTAGATGGAAAAAGCGTTTTCATGCTCTACAAACACCCATTCGAATTAAATTGGAAAATATTGGAATGTTTATAATGGCCGCAGCAGTTTTACATAATATAGCAGTAGATGAAGGTATTCCAAATTTTGATGAAGAAAATTTAAATGATGAACAACCAGAAAATCAAAATGATTTAAATGATAATAATATTGATGGATTTGGGATTAGGTCAAATATAGCACAAAATTATTTTAACTAAATTTTTGAAATTTTTGATATTTGTTTTTTTTTGGCGAAAAAATATTTAGAAATGAAAAATAATTTATTTTGAACTAAATTCTTTTTATTTTGAATTTTTATTAAATTTTTAAAATTTATTATAATTTTTTAAATATTCAAAACAATGTACATATCGACCTGGAAAGGAGGCTAGCGATTTTATCCGCAGCTACCCTAGCCGATACCCTATCCGCTACCCTATCCTTAGCATTGTTGTTATGGATAGGTATCTGCAGATAAAGCTACCGATTTTTTTGTACTTTAGCTGCAGATAGTGCTACGGATTTTAATCTTTAGCATTGTTGCTACCGATTTATCTGCAGCTAGCGATTTATCTGCAGATAGTTAGCATTGTTTCTACCAGCATCAGACAGATCTAAAAAAACCTTACTATTTTGATACAGATTTTATTTTTAAATGTTAATAACTTTGTGCTATTAATATTTTTTATAGAAATCAAAATTTAAAACCAAAAACTCTATATTTTAAATCGTAGTGACTATTAAACTACTAAATTTCCTTCAAAATATTTATTTAAAAACCCCTTTTCCCCCCCTTCTTCCTCCTCTTCCTCCTCCTTCTTACCTATTATTTAATTGTACTTGAAATATATTATTAGCCAAATAAATTCTATGTCCAAAAACATCAATTGTTGGGAAAGTTAATTTAATATTATTTCCCTTTCCTCGATGCTTTACATCTCTATAAACTGTCAGGAAAATATTTACAGCATCAGAAGTTTCACATTGAGCACCACAAAAATCACTATAAGAATAATATTTGCCTTCATCTTCTACCTTAAAATAAATTTTAATAATTATTATATTAAAAGTGTTCGCTAGAATAACAATAAGAAATTATAGGACAATTTCAAATTTGAATTTTTACACAAAATTTAAAAAATGTTTGGCAAAATGTTAATATTTTAATTTCCCTCAAAAGTAAAAATTTAAAAATTTTAAATTAATTTTCCCTTTTTTCACTTAAAAATCTAATAATTTTTTTAATTTTTCAATTTACCTTTAATTTATATTGTAAAAAATCCTCTACTTCCAAAGCTTTGTCTATATATCTAAAATTAATTTAAATAAATTTATTAAATTTATTTTTACTTTGGCCTTAATAAACTTTCAAAATCAACTGCTTGTATGGCAACAACTACATGAAATAATCCTCCCAATTCTTTAAAAAATTCTCGTGCAACTAAAAATTCATAACGGCTAGGAGAATTATCTGCACTTAAAATTATAAGAAAAATAATTTTTTCTTTAATTTTTAAGCAAAATATTTACCTAAAATGGTCTCTAACATTATTTACTTCTTTAAAATTAACAGCTCCAGAACCAAGCAATATAGCTAACAAAATACTGAAAAAATATTAATTTAAAAAATTAATTTAAGCTTCTGAAGTTAGAAATATTTTGGATATAATGAATAAAATAATAATAAAATAAATTTTGAATAAAATAAATTTTCTACAAAGGTCAGTTTCATAGAATTCTCTTTTTATTTAAAGAATAAATCCCAGTTCTATTACTAAAACATTTTATTCTCTCCTATAGAAAGAAGTAAATTTAAATTATAAATAAAGTTTTACCCCCTAGTTTTACCGGATTAATTTTAGAAAAATTTTAAAAATTTACGAAATAAAAATAACAGTCCAGGGACAATAAGAGACTGAATATCCAAGTTGTCTAAATCCATATTCAATTTTCTTTTCTGCTTTTTCAGTTAAATTATTACAAAATAAGGTTATTGTTGACATTCTATTTAAATTAATTAAAAATAAAATTATTTTTAAAATCAAAACGTTAAAATATTTTCAATATTTTCTTGGATATTTTAGCTTCTTTTAGTTGGATTAAAGAGAGAATATAGAGAAAAAAGAAAACCGGTCATTTAAAAATAGACGTCGATTAGTGACGACGCAAATAATTTTCTTTCTTTTCTTTTAAAGAAGCGGAACAACAACCAAAAAAAGAGGGAATTAATTTTTTTGAAAAATATTTTTTGACCATTTATTTAACAATTTTTTTAAATGTGAACTTTTTTTTTGGAAAATATTGTGTAAAAATTTTGTGGACATTAAATTTGGAAAAATTTAAGAGAGAAAAATTTTTTTTTTAAAAAAAGCCAGCAATATTTAATAGAAAATAAATTAATCGTTAAAAATTAGTTAAAGATAATTACTTTTGTGTTAATCTTTTATTGTTATATTCGCTTCATTCATTAGATTAATCTGATCAATTAATTACCGATTAAATTTAAAATAAAGTAAACAGAGCAGAAAAAGATAAATTAAAATTTGTTTAATGATTAAAAAATTAAGAAGATCTACAAAAATTTATTAGGAAAACTTTTTATTTAATGGACAATAATAATCAAAAACTACAAAAAACGTGACATATGTCATTCGATTCTTCTTGACGAGCTGAGTCGAACGGTACCACTCACTACTTTAGGAAATGATTCTGGACCGAGTTATAAGTCCAGAAAACTAGAAAAACCATACGGGGGAGTAAGCTCAATTTTGTGGTTTGGGGTTTAAAAATTTTTTGACTCATTTAATCCTACTTATATCATTAAAAATATTCATTAATGAGGTTTTTTCAAGTCAAGAAAAAAAAAGAAAAATATTTAGGTCAACGATTTTCCTTCATTTAACAATTTAAAAGTGTTTGTACGATTAGTTTGTTGCTCTTTCTCTCTTTTTCAGGTCAAGAATGGAGGAGGAAAAGGCTTAAACAAATTGCTAACATTTTTTAATTTAAAATTTAAAAAACGAAATTTTTGAATAGAAAAATTAAATTAAAAAAAAAAATAAAAAATTAATTCAAAAAAGTTGAAAAAATCTCAAAAAACTTTTTTCAAAAGCAAAAAGATTAATTGAAATTGGGCATATAACGGGAAATACGGTATATTAATTCTTTAGTTCTCTTATCGCCAGTTATTAACTTGATCCAAAATCCGATACTTATGAAATTAACATTGTTCACCCAGCTTGACGAGCCTAGTAGAATAGGCTGATATTTTTATATTTTGACACAAAAATTTTCTAATAACAAAATTAATTATTTTAGTTTATTTAATTTTCAATTTTTTTTAGAAATTTTAAAGAAAATTTTCCAAATTTCTTCAACTCCTTTTTTTCTTTAATTCTTTCTAGTATTGACTAATCAAAAATATTTTTTTCTTCTTTATCTTCAAAAAGAAAGCACATACAGGGAATAAAAATATAGAAAAAAGCCTTTCAAGCAAGAAAAGCACAGCTGCTAAAGATTTTTATGTCCTTATTTTTTAAGAAGACTTTCTCCAAGGAATTGATCAAGTTGATCAGACAAGGAAAAATAAAAAAATAAATGAAGGAAAAAGCCTTTAAAAGAGAAAAATATTTTTTTCAGTCTTGCCAACAATAATAAATTGGAAGTTAAAGAAAAGAGAAGGAGGGGGGGCAGCACTTGGTTTTACTTGTTTTGTTGTCAAAAACACAAGTTTTTAAGGACTTTTGGAGAGAAATGCTCGCCCCCGTATAAAAATATATTTTCATCTGTTCGGCGTTCATCATCGACTTTGGTTTTTTTACATTTTTTTAGTTGAAAATCTAAACGAGATAGGCGATAAGCATTTTACACTCTTTTTTACTCTTGCAAGCATTCCAAACCTCCGCAATTTTATATTTTTTAATTTAAAAATTTTCTTTTCCTGATTTGGCAAAAATTTGATTTATGTATAATCAATAAATTTAAAATAATTTTTTTTGTTCTGAATTTTATAATTTAAATAAAATAGTAAATACACATCTCACAACAATAACAATCCTTGTTGGAATAAATTAAAAATAAATTTTAGAAAGTATTTTCAGAATCAGAACATATAAAATTAAAAATCAGATCTTTTTATATTTTTCATAAGAAAAAGAAATTATCAGCGTTTTATTAATTATTAGCTTTATTTATAATTATAATTAATTATCATTATTATATCTCGTTATTTTAATTAAACATTTTATTTCAAATTTTTAATAAATTAATTTAAATAGTATATTTGTTAGAGGCAAAGATGGCGGAAGGTGGAAGTGAGTTTGACGATGAGGAATACGAATATGAATATGTGGATGAAGAAGAACAAGAGGAAGAGCCGGTAATGTAAAAAAATATTTTATAAAAAAATTTTATCCAATCTTTTAATTTTTAATCTTTTGTTGAGACCACAAATTTTCTAAAATAGTCCCACTCTCTAAAATATAGTCCCCGCTAAAAAATTATTTTATTTTAAGCCAAAAGCAGCTCCTCCAGCCAAAGATTCGTCTCCCCCAAAATCGCCAAAAAAAGAAAAAGAGCCCTCACCTCCAAAATCACCAAAAAAGGAGAAAGAAGCCTCTCCACCAAAATCACCAAAGAAAGATGTTAGTCCTGATAAATCCCCTGTTGGCAAACGAAAAGTAAATTTTATTCAAGAATTATTTTTTAGTTAATTGATAATTGTCTGGGGGGGGGGGGAGAGATTATCTAAATAATTATTTATTTATTTATTTAGGTCCGTACTCCTCGACAATCAATGGAGGAAAAACCAAAAGTAGAAAAACCCAAAAAATTAGACGAACCAACAGTTAATGAAGAAAAAGAAAATAGTTTGGCTGTTGATAATAATAATTTTGTTGAACCAAAAAGTCCATCAGCAGCTTCAGTGACTGCAGAACCTGGAAAATCCTTTCAAGAAAGGAACATTTCTGTTTCTGCTCTCAAAAAGCAGCAAATGTATTCAGGGGGAAAGCCTAGCCGTCACGATAAAGCGTAAAAATTATTTAAAAATTTTGATTGAATTTAAAAAATAAAAATTTCCAAAAATATTTGATTAAGTAAGAGTCTTGTAAAGTTAAATTACTCAGAGAATGTTCTGATTTAGAAAAATTAATTGAATATAAAATTGAAAGCGAGACTGGACTGTTCACAAAACCCTAATTTCCCCAAACCAATATTCTAGAAACCAGGATTTTTTATGCAGACTGAAACTTCTGGATTGAAGCGAAATTAAATAAACGGCCATTGTACAGTTCCATCTTATGGTAATATTTTGGGAGTATATTCGCGATAGAACCTGTTTTTTAGATGTTTGAGGTCTTTAGATGGTATTTTGTTAAGAAGTATTATTCAGGAAATTTTATAGAAATAATAAATACAAATTAATTTTGGATGTATTTTTAATAAAAATAATATAATTAAAATTAAAGTAAAAAACCTTTAAAATTTTTTTTAATTTTTAAGAAAACTTATGCGTTCTGAGGGAATTATACCAATTCAAGCAGGAACAAATAAATATGCCTCACAAAAGGGAATGACTGGTTAGTAGAATTTTTATCCACTTAAAAAATTTTCCTCTTAAAGGTTTTGGAGCTCCCCGTGATGTTGTTAAAGAATCAAAAGTAAAATCTGAAAATTTGGCGGAAATAACGGATGAAGCAAAAATAGCTTCATTAAAAGGGTCAATTTGGTTACAATCTGGTACTAATAAATTTGCTTCACAAAAAGGAATGACTGGAATGGGGACACCCAGAGATGTTAATTATCGACCTATGGGGACTGGAGGAGCTGGAGATGTTCCTGAAGAGAAGGCTAGATTGACTGATGGTAAGGGAGCGAGGAAATTAATTAAAGAGCTAATAAAAATTTAAAAATTATTTTATGGAAAATTTTAAAGTATTGAGGAAATAATTTTAAACAATACAAAATCATTTTAATTCTTTCGGAATTTAATGTTTTATAAATTTAAAGGAATTGTACCCTTACAATCTGGAACAAATAAATTAGCTTCACAAGCTGGAATGACGGGAATTGGAATGCCTAGAATTATTGATGGTTATCAATAAAATATTTATTTTAAAATGAATTAAATATTTAGTTCGTAAAACTGTTGATCAAGATAGAGAAAGTCAAGGATTTATACATTTACAAATGGGAACTAATAAATTTGCTAATCAATCTGGAATGACTGGTACATAATTATTAATTTGTGGATTTACTAAAACATCCATATCAGAAAAGTTCCAGTCCAAAAAATTATTTTCTAATCCAATAAAAATCTTAAATTTTAAAGCATTTTTATTAGAATTATGGAATTTCATAAAATTAATAATTATTCTCTAAATAATTTTATTTTAAACACAAATATATTTTAATCAAATCTAAAAAAGGTTTTGGTATGCCTCGACGTGAAATAACAAAATATAAAGATGAAATTCGTGGTGAAATGCCTCACGATGAATCTACAATTTCACGCCAAACATCTGGATGGAAAGATGGTTAGTGTGGAAAATATTGAGAGATAAAAATAAATTTAAGGTGCTAGCCAGCAAGGAATGACTGGATTTGGGGCTTTCCGAAATAATACTGTAAAAATAATTTTGAAATTAAATTCTAAAATTATTTCTTTTAGTTAAATCAATTACAAAATCAAGACCAAAGATCGCAAGGAATGATTCCATACCAAATGGTTAATTAAATTATTTTATTCAATTTAATTTAATTAAAAATTAAGGGTGTTAATTTCCTAGACTCCCAAGCAGGCAAAACTGCTTTTGGAATGCCTCGCCGAACATATACACCGTTGGGAATATTTTTAAAAATTGTTTTAAAAATTCTTTTAAAGTTATGTTGATGATTCACACGAGGATTTGCCTGCTGATATTTCTAGAAGGCCTGAAGTGCCTTTTTGGTCTGGACAAGAAACCGATTTTGCAAATCAGGTAAATTAAAAATATTAATTTGAGTGTTATAGTAATTGAACCCATCAGGGAAGGTCAACGAGTTGTAGGAGACTCTTTAAAATAAATACCGTATTTGCTCTAGTAATCCCCCAGGGGGATTATTGTTTCAACCCATCTCTAGGGTGGGGGATTAATAGAGCCTGGGGGATTAATAAAGACTGGGGGATTAATAGAGCAAATACGGTAGTACATAATTCGAATTAAAAATAGTTTTAAAAAGTACATTAACTTAACATATAAAATCGAAAATTTACCCTTTTCGAAACAATTTTGTACAACAAAATATTTAAAAATTTCTTCTTTGTACATATGTATGTATAGGTAACTCAATTTTATTTTAGCAAGGAATGCTTGCTTTTGGAACTCCCCGAGATGTTCGTGGAGAATATGTTAGACGTATGTGGTGATTTATTAAAAATAGAATTACCTATTCTGAAAGGGAAAGTGCCAAAAAAGAAAATATTTGCAATTTTTTTCCTGCCAATTGTGTCAATTTGTCGTTGCCTTTTTTAATTTTTGAAAAGTTCAAATATTTTTATCGTCATTTGCCTCTCATTAATTACATTTATATTCAATGAAAATTTTGTATCGAATAAATGAGGAGAATTTTAAATTAAATAGTAGGTATTTGATTAATTAATTAAGTCGGGAAAGGATTTCCAAATCAAGAATGTTCCTAATCAGAGGAATTGCCGTATTTATTCTAATATAAAGACAGTCTTTATTATAACGACAGTCTCTAATAAAACGGCACCCTGTATTGGAATAAATAGTTAAGTGGATTTAGATAGATAACGAGGTTACGGAGGGGAGATATTTTTCTTTAATAATTCCTGGAGGGCCAAGAAATTTATTAAGTTATTATTCTTGGGGTATTTTGGTTTAACTTGAAGTGTATGACACGAATAATAGAAGAATAGTTGAAACCTGAACTATTTTATTGTAAATTTTATGGGCTTTCAGATAGGCTTAAAAGAAAATTTTACATTTGCTTTAACCGGAGTAGACTATTTTTTTAAGTAGTATTCCCCCCCCCCCCCATTTACTGTTGATTTTTGTTATCTCGTTTAAAAATACATTTATAAAATTGTTCTTTTATTTCTGCTCGATATTAATGGAAACAGATATTTCTATAGAGGTTAGTCGAGCAAAAGATTTATATTTTGAAATTTGAGAATAATTAATCAAATTAAATTAATTACCGTAAATGCTGAGATAATGCCCATCTCGTAAATAATTACCCCTGCCCTATTGACTACCCCCTACAGTCAGAGATTGAAAAAATAATTACTCCTCTTAAAAATAGTTATAATTAGCCTTTTTAGAAAAAGCTCGAATAATTGCCTCCTCTCTTTTAATTACCCTCCCCCCCCCCTCCCAGCGAGAGGTTGAAACAATCATTACCCTGGGTAATTTTTTAGCAAATACAGTAAGTAATTTTATATTAAAAATATATTTTTTATTCAGATATTAAATAAATTCAATATATTTAAATTTGTTTATTTTACCAAGAAAAACTTTTAAACAAGTTAATAAATTGTCTAGACATTTAATTGCTTTAAAGTTAAGATCAAGTAAAACCATAAAAGTTATTTTCTGTCTGGATCGAAGTAAAGAAGATCTTTCTTTTTTAGACCAAAAGTAATAATTTAACAAAAAAAGTTTTAATTTTATATATTTTTTGGACAAATTTTTATTTTTATTTATTTAGTTTTTGCAACATTTTATTTTTAAGTGTGACAGATTTTTTGCAAAGAAAAATAAAAATATTTAAATTTTAACTCTTTTTATTTTATAAAAACAAAATTTCTTTTTAAATAAAGAAAACGATCAAATACTAAATAAATAAAAAAATATTTTAAAAGATTTTTTTGGTAACTATTTAAATGCCTAAAATTTGGCAAAAATATTCAGACAAAAAGTTTTTAGGACTTTTTTTCCCTAAATTTTCGCCTACGTCTGAAAACTATGGACTCTACTCAGAATTCACGCTTAAAGCTGAAAATAATATTTTTAACAGTCCAAGACTTATTTTGAATTACCTAGAAAGGCCCTAAGTAAAAGCCCATGATTCTATATTTTACAGCAAAAATAACATCATTATAGCCAATCAAGAAAATTTTTTCGATTGATAATTCTTTAATTTTTAAATCTCAAAAATTCCTCTTGCATAATTCCTTCCATTAAAAACTTTAAATAATTGGGAAAAGTCATAAAATATTAATTTAAAATTTTAATATTATCAAGGAGTATTTTATTAAAAAAAACAAAATTATTTAATTTTGTTTTCTAAACTTTTTATTTTTATAAATTTTTAGATTTATTTAAGATTATTTTTTAAAAATGGAATATTCTTTATTATTTATAATTTTAATTATTTTTTCAATAATAATTACAATAAATGGAAAAGGATGTGGTTGGCCTTGTAGTCCTTATACTTGTCCTAATGGATGTGGCTAAATTTTAAATTTATATTGTAAATATTTAATTTTAAAATAATTATTCTATTTTTTTTATTTTAAAGGAAATTATTTGGAAATTAACAAAAAATACATAAAAAGAAGATAAATAAATTAGAATATTTTTAGAATAAAATTTAGCTTGCATGTTTTAATTAATTTTGATAGTATAATTTAATAAAAATATTTTTGTCATTTTGTTTGTTATAAAGAAATACTTCACAATTCAGAACATTTTTCTTTTTTGATTTCGAATTTTAGACATTTTTCCGAGCTTTACTTTTATAGAATCAGGCCTTAAAGTTCAGGCCTTAGAGTCTTACAGACTGAGTTGGCCATTTTGGCAATCCCACTAAAATCCTTGCTGGCTTTTATTGTAATTAGTAACAACACAGTTATAAAAGTTGGTGGCTAGAATACAATTACATTCAAGTCCAGAATTCGTTATAACTCTCCAGAATGACTCGATCTAGTAAACAGATTTTCCAATCATTTAGATTGTCATCATACTATAGATATACAGTTTATAATCAAATAATTGCCAAGGTGTTTTACCCTCTCGCTGGATTTGGTAATTAATCAAGAATGGGCAATTATTTTAGAGAGGGTAAACATACGGTAACTCTTTTTTGATATGGCAATGGAAGTCTAATCAACAAAAATTAATTCACAAAATGTTTCATTCTTAGGTTTAAAAACCAGACATATTTACTTGTTTTTATGTTGGAATATTGAGCGAGAAGAAGGATTGTTGTTGGTTGATGTTGTATGTTATCCACGTTAATATCTAATATTTCTCTTTTTAAAATAAAAATCTTGAATTGTTTTTAATTTTCCAGTTTATTTGTTAATTATTTATTTCGTTATATTAATTATCTTAAATATTTTCTAAATCTACATTGATTTTTTAAAAAATATTTTTAATTGAAAATTAAAATTTTTTTAAATTTAATGAAAATTTTTAAAAAATAAAGACAATTAATAAAAACAGTTAATATTTATTTTTTATTTTTTTCTATCAAAAATAAATACCTAATTTATTTAATATAATTAATTGAATAACCTTTAATTGAACTTTAATTTTTTTTCAGATAATTTTCAAATGCCTCGTAGATTAAATAGATATCTACAAATTTTAATTAAACAATTTATTCGTTCTGATATTTTTAAAATAATTATTTATATTTTATTTTTAATTTATTTATTACCTTTTAATGGAAAAATTAGAAAATTACTGCAACTTTTTACTGGAAAAATGTGTATTCAAATGGGCATTTTTGTTTTGATACATCTTTGTATGTTTTTTTTTTTAAATTAAATTTTTTTCATAAAAATCTTTTAATAAAACCGTCCCATCTATCAGAGTTGCGTCGTAATTACGAATTACGAATTACGGCGTTTTTTCAGTTACGAATTACGATTACGAAAAAAAATTTTCAATTACGACGC